GTGGGGGGCGGAGCCGGTGGAGAGGGTTGGCTAGACCAGCAGCTGTGGGTGGCGAGGTCCGAGCTCGGGCGGTCAGAGCTCGATGTAGTCTGGCTCTTCGTCCATGAGGATGTCCTCGAGGCCGACTTCCACGGGCGGCGGGAAGATGACCAGCGCCCGCGGGGGTGAGCGAGGGAGGGGGTGAGGTCTGGGGGAGGGGCGGGAGGGGGAGAGGGGGGGACCGTGGCGCGGCCCCCGCCGCCGGCACCTGGCGCAGCTCGCACGAGGCGTCCGGGTCTGGCTCCGAGTCCGGGGTCGGAGTCGGCGAGGCGGCGGCGGGCGCGGCGGCGCCGTCGGGCGCGGTGAAGAGCAGCGTGTTCTGCTGCCGCACGCCCGGCAGGATGTCCTCTGGAACCTGCATAGTCGCGCGGCCGTCGAGCTGGATCACGTTGGCGGAGATGACGCCGCGCGAGTGCATCGAGAGGCAGAGCGAGCCGCCGTTGGAGTCGCGGATCGTGTTGCCGGTCACGCGCGAGGCGCCGCCGCGGCCGATGGCGATGCCCGCCATCTGGTTGGCGAAGATCTCGTTGTCCTTGACGAGGCCCTGCCCGTTTTCGCAGACGAGGACGCCGGAGTCGCGACCGTCGTGGATGCGGTTGGAGAGGACGAGGGGCTCGCCGTCCTTGAGGATAGCGACGCCGGCGCGGCGGTTCGCGAAGATGTCGTTCGCCTGGCGTGGGATCCGGAAGCGTGTGTGGCGGAGGGGCGTGGGGTGGGCTGTGGCGAGGGAGGAGGGCGGGAGGAGGGCGGGAGGAGGGCGGGAGGAGGGCGGGAGGAGGGCGGGAGGAGGGCGCGATGGCACGCGGACGGGTCGGCGGGTGTGGGGTTGGGTGTGGGCGGCGTCGTGCGCCTCGACGCGCCCGCGGCCCTTTTCGGACACGAGGACGCCCGAGTCGAGGCCGGCGTGGATCTTGTTGGAGCGGACCTGCCGGCGCAAGAAGAAGGCGGGGTGACTTAGGAGGTGGGGATGGCTTAGGGGGGGTGGGGGAGGCGAGGGCGAGGGCTGGCTGCCACCTGGGGGTCTGCGCAAGAGAGGATGGCGACGCCGGCGCGGCCGTTGTGCGAGATCTCGTTGTCCTCGACGACGCCCTTGCCGTAGTCGCACACGAGCACCCCCACCCCCTTGCCGCGCGAGATGTGGTTGTGCAGCACGTACGCGTTTGTCGACAGGCCCTGCACCACAACGCAGTGGCCCGTCTGGGAGGAGACGACGCACTCCTCGAGCACGAGGGTCGCGCCCCCCTTGGCGATCACCGCGCCCGACATGGCCGGCGCCGCGTGCCGCGACTGCTGCTGGATCGTCAGCTTGGCGACGCGGCAAGGGATGCGGCTCGACGCCTCGACTGCGGGGCCGTTCACTCCGACGAGGACGACGCTGCCGGCGGGGTCCTCGCCGACGAGCTCGACGGGCTGCGGCGCGCGGAGGAGGGTCGGAGTCGGACGTGCGGGAGGCGGGGCGGGAGGCTGGGGAGTGGGGGAGGGGCGGCGCTCGCCTTGTCAATCGCGAGCCGCTCCTCGTACCGCCCGCTCCTAATCAGCACGCGGTCGTAGGGCTTGGCGCAGCGGAGCGCGGCGGAGATGGTCGGAAAGGAGCCGGGCTCGCGGCCCGACCCGTCCACCACGAGCACCTCCGCCTTGGGCGGGTGCGCTTGCGGAAGCGACGCGATGACCTTGAGTGCAAAGCGGCGCAGCTTCTGCGGCGCCCGCACCGAGCAGAGCCGAGCCGCAGCCTGCAGCGGCAGCGGCGCGCTGGCGCCGACCGTCCCGGGGGCGCAGTCCGGCAGCGTCTTCCACCGGCGGCTCCACGTCGACCGCCGCTTGAACTCGACCTTGAATGATGAAGGGTGGCCGAGTGCGTTGTGTCTGCATGACTGCAGGAACGCCTGCCGCCAGACGTCCTCGTCGATCAACGCGCGCACGGCGCGGCTCGTCGCCTCCAGGGAGGCCAGCTCGCGCGGGCCGAGGCCGGGCTGCTTGAAGACGAGCTGCTGGATGTCCGCGGGAAGCTGAAGCAACATCAAGTGGCGCTGATGACCAGTGCACCCCAGGTGATAGTGTCATCAACACCTGCCGCCTGTTTTTTCTTCTTTTTTGTTTTTCTTTTTATCCCGAGTCCCCAAACGCACGATTCGCGCACGACGCGCATGATCCACACGCTCACTCCGCCCCGCGCTCCGCCCCGACTTTTCGCCTTCAGGCATCCACCTCGACGGCTCGACCCGACTCGACTCGCTCGAGCAGCAGCCACGCGGTCGGCGGCTCCGCTGCGGCGGGCTCCGCTGCGGCCGCCCTGGCGAGTACAGACCACGCCTGCTATTCACAGCACAAGCCCTCGCCGGGGGGCTCGAGCATGCGCAGCGAAAAGCCGGGGGGCTCCTTTTTCCAGACGGATGCCCCCCTGTGAAAAAGTGAGGCGCGGTCTGTACTCGCCAGGGGGGCGGGGGGGTGATTCGAGGTAGACCTCATCGAGCGTGGTTTCAGGTTTCTTTTCCCGCGGGCCTACTGCCTCCGGCTGTTTGCGGCGTTCGGCCTGCTGCGCGCTGCGATGGCGAAGAACTCGCTCGTCTCGTCACACCCAAGAGCTTATCTGTCGAGACGTGAGGCGCTTGCGCCCAGGAGGGGAGGGCGCATGCGAACGACGCTGCTAGATAGACAGAGATACCTTTCGCCTTTCGGGGCCCAGAGATACATGTAGCATGTGCATGTGCATGGAACACTTCTTTCTGATGCCATGCGTGACCTAGTAGTGTCCCCAGCTATGGGCGTGTCCACGTTGGAGCCAGGTGTGTGGTGTGGACGCGAGAATAGCTCCGCCGTTTTCATGGAGCAGAAAACATCGGGGGCACGGGACGCGGTACAAACGGGGCACAAACGCCAGGCTATAAACACGGGGAGGCACGTGTACCACTAACCGCCGAAGCTTGGAGAAGTATTATGGTTCTGTGCAAGATTGGGCGTCTTCTGCCGCAGTCCCTTTGATGGGCGGCCCCTGGGTGGGGGCCACCTCGAACCCCAAGCCAGAGTTTTTACAGGGATTGGTGGACTAACGTTAACACACGGTGTTCAAACGTTAACAGTTAACACGCACAGCCGTAGAGGTGTTCAAACGTGTTAACACCGCCCCTCGGGAGTAGTAGTAGAACACGTCCACACTAGGATTGCATGGGTCTCTGGGCCGGCGCGGGGCCCCCCGGAGGCACCGTGCGCCGCGCCGCAGTGCGGAAACGGGGCTCCGGCGCTCAGTGGTTACGGTTGGTTAGAGGGCAGATTTGGAGAGATCTCGAGGAGTACATACAGATAGACCCTCCAACCATCAGAAAACTCCGACCTGATCGGTCGTACTGACCGCCGACAGATCACTCCAGACAGCAGACAGGCCGACGTCTGCACGCGGCCGGCCGGGCGAGAGGCTTGACACGATCCGACCCTGCGACCCTGACGCTGCTGCTCTAGCTATCAGCCATGCACTGCTGACTGCTGCCACAATGTGCGACCTGTGCTGGCCCACTTGGCGGCCTTCCCGGTCAGTGGTGAGGCGCAGTTCAGAGCTGTCGATCGGCGCGATGCCGCACTGGTCCCACATTGGTGACACGAGACCACCAAGTTTGCCGGTCCAAGAGAGAGGCACCGGCGCTGTCCTGAGAAGGTGCGTGGTCCCTCTTGACTGCCCATGCGCGCGAGGCTGTGTAGGCATAGCCTCGAGAGTGCCAGCAGCCAATCCGAGGTGACGCGCATTGCGCCAGAAGCGTGCACGCAGCTGGAAGGACACCTTCCTACTGGCCGTACGATCAGGTCGTCACTGAATGCTTGATACTAAGGCCGCGAGCTATGCAGGTGATCAATTGTGCATCATGGCACGGTCAGCAGCGCCGACAGGCTGTCGCAAGGCGTGATAGCATGGCCGCAAGTACGCCGAATTCCCATGAAAACAAGTAAAAAATCGCGAAAAAGAAAAAACTCCAAAAAAATCGGCGCCTGCGGTGGGCCAGGGGACCCCATCTCCCCCGCATGGACACCCTCTGGGGCCCCCGCGCCGGCCCAGAGGCATGGGTGTGTGTGGGCGAGCGTGTGTGTGAGCGTGGTTTCAGTTTTCTTTTTCCGTGCGAGGGAGTTTTGTTGTAAAAGTCTTTTTCCGCGCCAGTCCCGTGCCCAGTGTTGTGCGAGGGAGCTTTGTAATAAACTTCTTTTTCCGTGCGCCGGCGGCAACAGATTTCTCGGCGTTCGCCTCTCGCCCTGCTGCAGCATCCGTTCCCATCTCTGGCTGCCGTTCGCCGAGCGCCTCCTCAAAGCATGCGAGAATCTCGTCGCTCTGAAGGTCAGTCTCGAGCACGTCGTCAGCAGCGCGGATGCTCGCCCGCAGGGCCGCCGTCCGTCGGTCGAGGTCTCGTATTTGTTCTGGCAGCGTCGGCGCCGGCCTGCTCCCGCGCTGGCCACGCATCATGCTGCGCTTCGCGAGCAATCGCGTAACGGGAGGCTCGCTGGCTTTTTGTGGCTTTTTGGACGGCTTTTTTGGATTCTCCCGCCCTCCCACTCCTCTCTTGGATTTTTTTTGGTGAATCGTGTCTGTGCTTGTTCGTCTTGTGGTCCGGGGTTGTGTTTTTGTGAAAGAGCGAGTTCTTTTCGCGAACGTACTCCCAAGCGCGCCTTGGTCTTTTCCAGTCGATTTATCTTCTTTTCAGAGCACATTGTGAATGAGCTTGCCTGCGGCGAGGGCGGTCGAGTGCACGGAGCTAAGTGCCTCGCCGTCCTCGCGGGAGTCGTTTAGGCGGCTCCCGTGGTGTAACCTGTGTTAGTGCCAGTGCGCGCCAGAAAGAAAGAAAGAAAACGGAAAACCCCAAGGGAGGGATGGGAGAACGGCACGCCGCCACCACACAGGGATTTTAAGGAGAGGGGTGTGGTGCGCTAGCCGTCGCCCGTGCGTAAAATTCTTTTTCGAGACGCGCCGCAAGCACTCGGCACACCTCGAGACGCTCTGCGTGCCCGCCCGATGACGGCCCTCGACCGCGCCCTCTTCTCCATCTCGCTGCAGCTCATCGCGCTGCGCATTCCCGCGCGCAAGTGCAACGCCTTCATGCAGGCGCTCCAGGGCCACGTCCTGCAGCGGCCGAAGCTCAAGCCCATCCAACCCGACGGCGAGCAGGCGTGCCGTCGCCGCGCAACGCTTGCGGCTGCACCTCTTCCAGCTCCCCCACGTGCGCGTGCGTGCGCTGACCCACGGCCGTGCGGCAGACAGCCGCGGCCCTGGGACCGACTCGCCTCTCCGCCTCTTGCCGTCTGCGTCACCCGCCTCCACTCCTCCCGCCCCAGGCGCCCTGCACGACGCGGCTGCTGCTGCTCGACGAGGGGATCGACGACCTGCAGCTGACCAAGCTGCCCGACGAGCTGAGGGACTACGTCGCTGCAGAGGGCGGCGAACCCGTCCGCCACTCGGTCACAATCGGGTGCGACGGCTTCAGCGCCGAGCTGGTGCGGGGAGGGCCCTTCAGGAACCCTCCAGGAACCCTCTCGGAGCCCTCCTCCAGGTACGACAAGTTCAGCGCCGAGCAAGTGCTTCGGCGGCTGCTGCCCGAGGGGATGGAGGTGCCCAGCGCCTTTGAGCAGGTGGTGGCGCGGCATGAAGCTGCGTTGTATCTCGGCTGTACCTCGGCTCTGTCTATCTCGCCGAGACACGGCTGTGACTCGGCTGTATCTCGGCGGTATCTCGAGCAGGTGGGGCACGTGGCGCACATGAACTTGCGCGAGGAGCATCTGCCGTACAAGGCGCTGATTGGAGAGGTGCGTGGTGACGACCAGGGCGGGCGGCTCGATCTCGGCTCGATCTCGGCCGTATCTCGGCCGTATCTCGCGCAACAGGTGCTCCTCGATAAGAACCCTCGGCTGCGCTCGGTCGTCAACAAGGCCGACTCCCTCCCACGTCCGCCCTCGCGTCACGAGTATTAGCCACTCGTTGAGCAGTACTGGCGGAGCTGTAGGTCGAGTCCATCTCGAACGATAAATAAATAAATAGAGCAGTCATCTGTAGGTCGAGTCCATCTCGAACGATAAATAAATAAATAGAGCAGTCATCTGCAGGTCGAGTCCATCTCGAACGAGTTTCGCGTCTTCCCGATGGAGGCAATCGCAGGAGGAGAGACCGGTGGACTGAGACTCAGTCCATGGCTCATTCCTCCCCCCCCCCCCCCCCCCCCGATGGAGGTCATCGCCGGCGACGAGGACCTCGAGACGACGGTGCGCGAGGCGGGGCGCCTGTGGCTCGGATTGCTCGGTCCCTTTCCTCACCACCGGGGTGGCTGCATTGGTGAGGTGCGCGAGAACGGCGCCACTTTCGCCCTCGACTACCGCGAGGTGCTGCAAGCCGCCGCTGTAGCTCCTCGGCGTGGCCGGCTCGCCTCAGTGCAGCGTGCCGTGCTACACCAGGTGTACTGGAACTCGCGGCTGGAGCGAGAGCACCGGCGTACAGCCTGCGAGTCTCCCCCTCGGCCAGCCGCGTCTTCCCACCTCGTCACACCTCCAGCTGTGAAGCGCAGGCGGATCGTCGAGCTACTTCGGCCTGGCGAGGTGTGTGCCGCATGCTCGCCCCAGCAGCTAACGATGAGTGAGTGAGCAGCTCTAACCCAGCGGCTGGCTGGCGAGGTGGTTTGCGACATGATGGCCGGCATCGGCCCCTTTGCCGTCCCCGCCGCCCTCAAGGGAAACCGCGTCTACGCAAACGACTTCGAGCCTAGAAGCGGGATATCTCCCCCATATCTCCCGCATACCCCCCCCATCTCTCGAGCCTAGAAGCGGGAGACAGAGACGCGTGTGTTCAAACTACCCCCCCGGGGAGACACGAACGCAGCTGCACTCGGCTCTGCTCGGCCGTACTCACGCGGTGCTCCGAGTACTCTGCACGACGCCGTCTCACACACCCTCACCTCTGGCGTCTTCACACTGCAGGACCTCAACCCGCAGTCAGCAAAGTGGCTGCGCACAAACGTGCTGCGGAACAAGGTCAGGCTGCAACCTCGGCCGCGCCGCACCACGGCCGCACCTCGGCCGCACCTCGGCCGCACCTCGGCCGCGCCACGGCCGCACCTCGGCCGCACCTCGGCAGCATCCCGCCAGGTTGGGCCACGCGTCCGCGTCTCAAACAGCGACGCGCGCGCCTTTCTCCGCCAGCTGCTCGCGCCGCCGCAAGGCGCGACGGGCGAACCGGCGGCAGCGGCGGGCGAACCGGCGGCGGAGGCGGCAGGAGGGGCGGAGGCGGCGACGTCGGCTGCAGAGGGGGCTGGGGAGGCGCCGACGCTGGCGTTTGGGCCCTTCAGCCACATCCTGATGAACCTCCCCGCTTCGGCGCTCGAGTTTCTCGACGCGCTGGTGGGCGCTTTCGACGCGGAGACGTGGCACGCGCCGCTGCCGCGCGTGCACTGCTACTGCTTCTCCAAGGTTGCTCTCTGACACACCTCCACGCCACCCCACGTTACACACTTTCACACCGCACTCCTCCCTTTGCCGGCGCCTCTGCCGCTGCTCCTCTAATGATTGAACGAACGGACGGACTCACTCTCGCCTCGGCCCTGCTGCGCCTCCCAGGAGACCGCGGCGCCCGAGGCGGACGTGATTCGGCGTTGCTCGCGCTCGCCCCGCCGCCGGCAGGGGCGGTCGAGGCTGAGCCGAGATTGCGCCGAGATCGTAGGCGGGCGGAGGAGGTGCTGGGCTGCTCGATCCCCGGCGCCGAGGCGACGGTCGTGCGCGACGTCGCACCGAACAAGCGCATACCCCCCCCCCCCCCCTCTTCCTGGTCACGGCGCGAGAGGGGCCGTTTCCCGAGAGAGCCTCGTCTGTCTGCTGGTAGGCTGATGCTGTGTGTCTCTTTCGTCGTCCCGGAGGCGGTGGCATGGCGTGGGGAGGGCGGCGCCGCGGCGGCAAGCGTGCGCGATGGCGGCGGCGAGGGCGGCGAGGGCGGCGAGGGCGGCGAGGGCGGCGAGGGCAGCAAGCGACAGAAGATCTAGAGCTGGGCGGGAGGAGCGGCGAGCGAGTCGCCGGAGCCATTGACGTGCATCGCTGGATGGTGCGACTGTGACTGTGCGCTGCGACATGATCGCCAGTCCCGTGCCGTGCCCAGTCCCAGTGTTGTGCGAGGAGCTGCTTTTGCCTTTTGTTTGAACTCTTCTGAGGTTTTGCTCGCCCCGCCTTGGTGGCATCGCCATGTCTCATGCACGACGACCGCGTTGACGCGCCCCTCAGTCACCCCTCCGTGTGTGTGCTCCGAGTCCGACGGCATACGGCTCTCTTCGAGTCTGTGAGAGAGAGAGAGTATCTGGCATGTTGTGCGAGTATATGGGCCAAAAGCGTCGAAAATGTCCCAAAAAGCGTGTCTCAGTTTGTTGCAGCTCCGCAACCAGCGCGGGCTGCCGGGACGCACCGCGAGCTGGATACACGCACTCCCTGGGTCCCAGGGAGTGCGTGTATCCAACTGGAGTGAGTAGGCTCGACGCCGCGCTCGCTGTGGGGCTGCAACAAAGTCGCCGCCGAGCGTGCCATCGAAGGCGTCCCGTCGGAGGTGATGGAGTGTGAGACCTGAGGCTGCGGAGGTGACGCCTGAGGTACCGGCCGGTGTACGGCGACTCAGCCGGCGACCGCCACGGGCTCAGACGAGACTTGTCGACGCGTTCCGGCTCAGCTTCACCGTGGTCATCGGGCGTCTGTCGACGTCAGGACCACCCATACAGCTCGCGGGTTTGAGGTCGCAAGAGCCAAGATGGTGGCGTTTGGACATCCCAACCATCACACAAGACAGCCTGTAGGTGATGGCGGGACGGCGCAGTGTTTGTGGCACTCGGCAGTAGGCACCCGCGGCACAGCCCCGCAGTCGGCTCTCGCGGGCTGCGGAACCGGCCCCAGAAGGGGACGGTCCGGGCAAGTGTGGCAGCTCCTGCGCTAGTATGGGCACCCTCTATCACAACACTACTGATCCTGGCCATTAGAGCTGCCAGGGATAGCGTCAGGAGCTGGTAGGAGTCAAAACCCCTCATATTTGAGACATCGTGGCCCATAAGCCATATACTCGCACAACGAGCCATCTCTAGGTCTCTAGAGGGGGTGTGTGGAATCCTCTACGACACGGCCACGACACTCGACACGCGCGTGGGCGCGCACGAGCCACGACGAGAGAAGTGTGATCGAGTTTTGTTCTTCGGAGAGAGAGAAGGAGTGATCTGACATGCTAGACGAGACACCGCCGCCCACGGAGAGCGCCCCTCACGCGACCCCACGCTTCGCTCCACGCGCCCCCACGACCCGGGCGCGCTTCGCGTACAGAGCCAAAGGACAAGCGGGGAAGTGAATCTCTCTTACTGACGCCCAGGCTCTCGCGCCTGCGCGGTGGCAGCCGGCCCGTCCCTCTCGCGCCGTCTTCCCCCCGCTAGCACAGGCTCGCCCCTCACGACCCTCCCGCAGTTGCCCATCCACAAGATAATGACGAGACGCCCCCGCGCGACCTCCTCGCGCCCCAGCGCCCATGGCGCGGAGGCGCTCCGCGGGGAGATGCGCGATGCGGGGGGCCGGCAGTCTCGCTCCGAATAAAACGCGGCGCGCCTCTCGGCGCCCCTCACAGCTTCGCCGTGGCCATCTCGACGGCGGCCTTGCAGCCGTCGTACATGCCGACGCTCGCGTTGGTGAGGATCGAGTCGTTCATCTGCGTGAGCGCGTCGGGCGACTTCGCAAAGATGTCGAGGTAGCGCACGACGTCCGACACCTCGCGCAGCTCCTGCGTCCCGTCCCCGACCTCGGAGGCGCGCAGCGCAGAGTAGAACTCGTGGTCGCCCACGCGGCGGAGCATCAGCTTTGGCACCTGTTCACAGCTCGAGGTGTGAGCTGTTCACACCTCGTGGTCGCCCACGCGGCGGAGCATCAGCTTTGGCACCGGGTAGAAGGCGAGCTCACCCGGCTTGCACGCGAGCACGTCCGAGACGCGGCACAGGATGTCGGTGGTGGCGACGGCCGGGAAGTAGACGTTGAAAGCGAAGATAGTGACGGCGCGCTCCGGCTCGAGGCCGGAGGACATGCGGCCGCAAAAGTCGTGCACGCCTTGCAGCGTGTCGACGAGCGTGTAGCGGATGCCGAGGTCGTCGAGGCAGTTGGCGAAGGCCTCGTGCATGTGGGTGTGGTCGCCTACAGGGAGGTTCCAGGAACGGTCTAGGAAAGGTCTAGGAAAGGCGTCGTGCATTGTGGGTGTGGTCGCCCGCGTTGAGCAGCAGCTGCGCGCTGCCGCGCGCGATGCGCTCCGCCATCGCCCGGATCAGCTCGCACACGAATGTCTTCTGCGCGCCCGCGCCGCCGACCGAGCAGAGGACACGCGTCGGCTTGCGCGCGGCGGCGCGGGCCTTGCGTGCATTGCAGTCGGACTTGATGTTGACGACGAGCTCCCTCGGGATCCAGTGGCCTATTCATTCGCCATCGTGGAAGAGTGGGCAGCTGCTGGCTGGGGTGCGGCCTCCCTCGGGTGGGTGCGGTGGCCGACGATCTTGAGGTCCTTAGGGTCGACGCCCATCTGCAGGAACTCGTGGTACATGGTCGGGCCCTGGATCAGGTTGATCGCGCCGGGGACGATGTGGAAGGCCTGCGCGTGGGATGGCGACCACGAGGGGTCAGCCGTCGGGAGGGGTCGGCGACGTCAGCGCTGTGGAGTGCCTGCGCGTGGTTGGCAAGCACAAGGCTAGAATGACAGTGTGATGGTACAGTGGGCTGCCTGCGCGTGGTTGTCAAACACGAGGTTGATGACGCGCCTGCGCGAGGCGGGCTCGCTGTGAGCAGCCTTGAGCAGCCGACGGCGCGGCGCGAGGCGGGCGGCCGAGGGCCGCACGTGAAGCCGGCGGCGACGGCCGAGAGGCCGACATACGGGAAGCAGGAGATGATCGGCGTGTCTCGCGGGAAGGCTGCCGTGAGCGTGCGGAAGTGCGCCGAGACGACCGCGAACTGGCGCGCGAGGTTGGCCGTCGCCCCGTTGGCCATGAGGTAGCCAAACACGAGCTCGATGGCGCGGAACTCGGCCTGGCGGGACGGGCGGCGGCGGCGGCGGCGGGCGTCGAGTGAGTCGGGGAGGCGCCGAGCGGTGGCGCGGGGAGGCGGTTGTGGTGCGGCCTGGATGCGCGAGATCTGCGAGTAGAAGTGGTCCATCGTCTTGATGAGGGACGCCTCCTCCGAGTCGAGGTTGAGCAGGTCGTGGAAGTACCTGCGCGCAAGCCGGAGAGTACTCGCTCACGGCGCCCCGCCGCGGCGCCGCCTCGGAGGCGAGGCGCGCACGTCTTCTTGTCCATGCCGAGCGCCCACGACGTTGTGGCGTAAGCGATGCGGTGGTGGCCATAGCCCATCCGGATGGTGCCCACCACGACGCCGCCCAGCGGCTGCAGGCTGGTGGCCGCCTTGTTGGCGCCCTCGCGCCATGTCGTCATCAGGCCGGGCACGTGCGGCGAGGCCTCCTCGGCGAGCGGCAGCGGCGCCGTCGCAGGCACCATGCTCCCGACGTTTATGTAGTACACGCAAACCACCTTGAGCTTCGAGAGCCAGTCCGGCTTGCCGTGGATGTCGTCAATCGCCAAATTCGCGCTCTTGATCAGCCGAGCGTACGCCGCGGTGACGCCTTCGACGAGGATGGCGTGGAGCAAGGCCTGCACGATGGCGACCACCTCGCCGAGCTGGGCGGCGCCCGGGAACATGCTTAGCCAGATTAGTTAGCCAGATTAGTAGAGCGGGAAGAGGTAGCGCAATGGTCGTCCCCGTCGGCCGACGGATTCATTCACAGCCTTGTATCGATCGTCGATCGCACGGATTTTCAGTGTATGTACTTTTAGCTTACTGGGAGAAAAGAGAGAGGGGGTTGTGTTCTCTAGGCCCCTAAGGGCCCTACGCGCGGCGTGAGAGCTCGGAAGCGAGCTCTCAGTGTATGTAGCTCTTACGAACATACCCGTAGGTGAACTGCTGACAGGGTTTGCGATGAGGAGCGATCCGAACGTGGTATTCGGGTGATTAGATCACTACCGCCTGTAAGGTGCCTATTAGAGAATGACGTGTGAGTGTTAGAGTTGTTTGCCTAGATGGGCTTCCAGTATCGGACCTTCAAGACATGCGCTTTTGGCCGGTGGCCTCCTCGGACATGGTACCTCCGGTGAGATAGTGGCTGCCAGTTCGAGACTGGGGCCGATCGAACTTGAGTTGTTCGGAGGAGGAATCCGGCCAGCACGGGTACAAAGAGGGGTACTACCCGGAGAATCCCCAGCTGCGGAAACGTAGTGTCGCTCAAGAGGTGCGATACTGCGGGGGAGTGTAAGGTGCCTATATGGGCTTCCAGTATCGGACCTTCAAGATGACATGCGCTTTTGGCCGGTGGCCTCCTCGGACACCGCCGAAGCGCAAGCGCTTGGAGCAAGGGAACTGCCACGTATGGGATTTTGTTGAAAAATAATTTTTAAACAACCCGCCACAACGACCCCTGGAATTGCGACTCGCCGCTTTCCTCCCGCTGTGATTCTGTGTGAGCTCTGTGTCTTGTCTGCCAACAATACACCTAAACACAACAAGTGCTAAAGAAAGAAAGAAAGAAAACAGACAACAAGGGAGGGATAAGAAAGAAAGAAAGAAAGAAAACACACACGCCAAACGAGGGATGGGACGAGGACAGGGTCCCCACCTGCACGAGCAGGATTTTGGAAGGACGATCAGGGGGATGACAGGTGGGGCTCTCCTGCTCCTGACAAGGGACACGACAGGCTCGCAGCGCGGTGCGCGGGGTGGACTCCCACATCCACTGGCGGTCTCATCTCAGTCTAGCGACCTGCCTCCAGCTTGTCGCTGGCAGTCTCTCCTACCACAGGCACACTGACACAGGGGTGGCAAAAGAAAGAAAGAAAGAAAACAGACAACCCAAGGGAGGGATGGGAGGACGGCACGCCGCCACCACACAGGGATTTTAAGGAGAGGTGTGTGGTGCGCTATCCGTCGCCCACCCTAGGGAGTCTGCCTCTTCCTATCTCTCTTCGCAGTCTCTCGCCGATTCTCGCTGCAACCTTCATGCCACCTCGCGGTCGTCCCACCATCGTCGTTCTCTCCCTTGTCACTTCCTCCTCTGTCGCGTCGTTCTCTTCTGCCTCGTCCTGCGACGCCGCCGCCTGCCGGTCCCTTGTTCTCGCGGCTTCTTTCGACTGTGCAAAAAAAGAAAGAAAGAAAACAGACAACCCAAGGGAGGGATGGGAGGACGGCACGCCGCCACCACACAGGGATTTTAAGGAGAGGAGTGTGATGCGCTAGCCGTCGCCCACCCTAGGGAGTCTGCCTCTTCCTATCTCTTTTCGCAGTCTCTCGCCGATTCTCGCTGCAACCTTCATGCCACCTCGCGGCCGTCCCACTCTCGTCGTTCTCTCCCTTGTCACTTCCTCCTCTGTCGCGTCATTCTCTTCTGCCTCGTCCTGCGCCGCCGCCGCCTGCCGTTCCCTTGTTCTCTCGGCTTCTTTCGCCTGTGCAGGGATGGGACAACTCGTCTACCAAATTCTTTTCCGTGCTGCCCCCGGCCAGCCCATGTTTCGCCGCGCTTTGCTGCTGCGGCACTCAGGGCGCTTGCTGAGCAGCGAGGCGCGGGCGCTCACCCTCGAGCAGGCGATGACCTCCTCGCACCTCATCCTGAGCGAGCTCGAGTCGCCGCAAATGGTGCAGGCGATGCAGGGCGCGGCGTCGCAGGGCGACCGGCTGCAAAAGTGGCAGACGGCCAACGCGGTGCTGATCCAGGCGACGCTGCGCACGCTGCCGCAGGTCGGCTTCTCCGCCGACGCCGCCGGGCTGCACGCCTACACCGAGGCGTTTGCGGCGCAGGCGCGGAGCCCGCAGCCCGAGGTTCGCAGCGCGCTTGCCGGCGTCAACGTCTCCAAGTGGCGCACGCTGCTGCGGCACGCCTTCGGCTGCGACCCGGCGCCGCCGATCGAGCGGAGCGCCGCGCGCGCGCTGGCGATCGACATGGTCGACGCGCTGCAGGACGAGGCGCTGCTCGCCGAGGTGGCGGGCAGCAGGGAGGGGCTCGGCTCGCGGCTCTCGGACCAGGAGCACCAGCTGCTGGTGGCGCGCGCGGTGGTCAACGTGCAGGCGGAGGTGATGGCCAAGCACGGCTTCGAGGGCGACGCCGGCTTCGCGCAGGCGCAGGTCTGCCTGATGGAGCACGCGCACGACGCCGTCGTCACCGCCTCGGTCGCCGCGGCGACGACCTCGCTCTACGCGCGCGCGGGCATCAACCTGCAGGAGACGTTTCGGCAGGCCACCGGCGCGTGAGAGAGGACGCGCCGGCGGCGCGGTGGGCGAGGCCGAGGGGCGCTGGCGGTGCCCGCGCCGCGCGCGATCATCGGCTTATTTTTTGACTCCTGTCCGCCGGATCCATGCCCAGAGCCCAGCTTCTAGAGAAGAGGCAAAGCCAGGCACCGCGCAAAACCTTTTAAAACGCACCCGGGACGTTCACAGCTATGCAAACCACACGAGGGACGTCCGAAATTCGGCGCACAATGCTCATTCCGACGCCCGCCACATGACGCCCACCGCAGCCGCGTTGGTCGGCGCGCGCCGCCGCCGACCATCACCACCGACCGACAGCTCGCACGGCCGTGCGGTGAGCAAAAATTTGGGTCGCTGCGCGCCTGCCGGATGCTCTGCGACGTCTGGACGCTCGCCAGAAACGCCAGGAAGCTTGCCTTCCACCCCTGGGCCCGAGGGCGAACGGCAGTGGTCGGCAGCCTCTGCGACGCTCCGATCGGCTCCTCGACCTCATCGCTTGCGACGAGCCAGCATGGCTCGTCGCTCGACGGCAGCCTGCTCAGTATGCTCTTGGCATTCTGTACAGCCTCGCCAGGCTCTCTGAGACGGCCTGCAGGGCCGGCGCGGACCGCCTCGGGCGCGATGGCCCTCCTCAGTACCTACCTCTTTGATGCCTGTCGGCTCTCCAATCTCGTCGCCGGCGGCAGGCCCGCATGGCGCGCTGCTCGATGGCAGCCTGCTCAGTACGCCTTGGACAGTGACTTCTGCCTCGCTGCTCTTACTGCAGCCGCCTCCGGGACCGGCGCCGGCCGCCACGCCTCGCCAGTGCTGTCTACGCCTGCGACACGCGTGTCGGCTCGCCGCCCGCGTCGCCCGCGGCGGGCCCGCATGGCTCGCCGCTCGTCGGGAGCGTTCCCAGCAGGCTGTGCAGGGCAATCTGCCTCACTCAGGGCGCCGCCGCCGCTGCGCGGGGCCGCCACCGGCGCCGCTGCCGTGAACACTGCCGCCGTGTACGTCACCATCGCCTCTCTTCGTCGCCGATCTCGCCGACGCCGCTCGCCGCTCGCCGCCGCCCTGCCCTGCCCTGCCCTGCCCTCGCACAAACAAACAAACACACACACACATACACATACAGACACACATACAGACACACAAAACACACCCTGCCCCAACCTCGAGCGCCCCGCGCCTCCCGCCTCACGCCCTGCGCCTCACGCCGCGCGTCCCACGCACGCCCCGCGCCCCGCGCCCCCACGCCCCTCACCTCGCGCCTCACGCCTCCCTCCCCACCCTCTCAGAGGCATTTCTCCTCCCTGCTGCTCGCCGACTCCTCCTTCCCCCGCATGATCGACGACTACCCGTCCTTTGGCGACTCCTCCCTCTTCGGCGCCAACGCCCACTACCCGTTCGGCCCGGTGAGGGGCAGGAGCGGAGCCATTCCAACGGCTGGGAAATTTTCTGAACGGCCGTGCATGCGCCTGCATGCCGGACAACTAAGAAGGTCCCTCGCTCCTGCTCCTCTCTCGGAAGACGCGCGCCGGCCTGGGGGATTCGCTTGCGATCCCGCTCCAGCCAGAGGCCGCGTGAGGCGTGTGGGACGGTGCACGCTGGGGCTTGGCCCCAAGTGCGCTGGCCTCGCGTCTCGAGGGGAGGGCGGCTCGTAACTGAGGTCCGCCGTCAGAGACAGTCGTCCTCCCCTCAACCCGACGAGAGTGGGCGGGCAGTCCCCGTGGCTGCAGTCGCGCTTCCGAGCCGACTCCGCCCCTCTCTCCACCCGGCCATTCCAACGGCCAGGCCGCTCGCTTAAGGCTGATTGGCTAGACGAGCGGCCTACCTCCAATGGGGCTGTCTGGGAACGCGTGGATCCGGCCCGCCCCCCGGCGGGTTACGGTTTAGCGCTGACAGTCACCCCATGGGCAGTCTGGATCACGGGGGATGACATCCTGCCTACCGGCGCGCCGGGAGGAGGTGGGTGCTCCGCCGCCGGACCGCCCCCTCCATCACCCTCGCCCAGGGATCTACAACGCTGTCTCAAGGTCCGACAGGTTCGGCACCGGGCACCGCCTCGGTATACAAAATGCGCCTGCGGGCGGACCCTCAATGGATCACAGATCACACGGTGTAATCACGATCGGATTTGCTGTCTGTTTTCGTGCTCTTTGCTTACGTCTCACCTTCTAGACCACCACGCACCGCGAGCGGCATGAAGGTGACCGCCTCCGAGTTCATCGCCCAGTCGCTCGTCGACGCAGGCGTGCGAACCGTTTACGGTGGCCACGGCGGCGCGCTCGTCCCGCTCGTCAACGCTGTCGTCGACCACCCGGAGCTTCTGTGGGTGTGCACTCGCAACGAGGCGAACGCGTCGCTCATGGCGGCGGCCGACGCCAAGCTGCGGCTCGGGCTCGCCGCTTGCATAGCGACCAGCGGGCCGGGCGCCTCCAACCTCGTCACCGGCCTCCTCGACGCGCACCTCGACCGCGTGCCGCTCATCGCAATCACGGGCACCAAGCCGCGCAGCGACCTGGCGCACTCCGAGTTCCAGGACATCGACCAGTCGCGCCTCTTCGCGGCGGGCGGACTCAGCTACTCAGTCACGGTCTCCGACCCGCTGCAGCTCGTGGCGGTGATGCGCGACGCTGTCGCGACGGCGCTCACGCACCACTGCTGCGTTCACGTCGGTGTGCCCGTCGACATCCAGGGCGCGCTGCTCTCTGCGCCCGAGCACCTCTGCTCCGCCAACCCGGCCGAGATGAAGCGGCGCGTCGAGGCGCAGATTGGCGACCCGGACGACATCGCCGGCATCGCAGAGCTGCTCGCCTCGGGCAAGGAGCGAGAGCCTTCTTCTTCGCGCTCGGCCTGATTGAGTTGTCAATGAGAGGCGACCGGTTGTGACTGACAGGAGCGAGTCGTCTTCGCGGTCGGCCTCGCCGCGCGCCAGGACTGGGAGGCGATTGATTCTGCGGCTCGCCGAGATGACTATTCATTAAGTGCTAATCAACTATTAATTTAGGACGGGGAGGCGATTCTGAGGCTCGCCGAGATGACTGCGTCTCCGGCGCACCTCGCCTCCACCTCGGCTGCGCCTCCCCCCCCCCCTCCCGCTCCTCGGCTGCACCTCGGCCGCACAGCACGACTGCACCCTCTCCACCCGCCTCTACTCCAACCGCCCTACTCCAAGGTGGTGACGAGACTCGACGCCAAGGGCGCGATCGACGAGTCACACCCGCTCGCGCTCGGCGTCGTCGGCGTGCACGGCAAGCCGCCTGTGAACAGCGTCTCTTCACACCTCCTGCTCTGAACAGGCGTCGTCGGCGTGCACGGCAAGCCAGGCCTCGCGGCGGCGGCCAAGGTGATCTCGACGTCGACGCTGGTGGTCTCCTTCGGCGTCTCGGACCTGACGGTGCTCCTCTGTGACCAGCACGGGCTGCAGGAAGCGCGCGGGTGGGCCCCGCCTCCGCGACGCGTCCGCGACGCGTCCACGCCACCCCCCCCACCCCCCACAGGTGCGGCCGATGGTGGAGGTCGTCACCGACGTGCTCGGCTCGTCGACTCGCTTCCGCGCGCTGCACACCCTCGTCGCCAACCCGACCAAGGCGTGCGAGCAGCTCATGGCCAAGCTGGCGCAGCTCCCCCCTCCGCCGCCAGCCGGGGACGAGGCGACGCCTTGGCACCGGCTGAGCGGCTACGTGAGCTCGGTGGCGGGGCGCCTCTCCGACGGCGCGCGGGGAAGCCACGTGTCGGGCCACCCGCCGCCGGGCCGCGACTCGGCCGCCGCGCGCGAGATGGCGGGCGTGGCGGCGGAGGCGCAGGCAGCGAGGCTCTCTGCTTGCGGGAGCCCTCGAGGAGTCCTCTTGGCCTCTCGCCGCGTAGGCGCAGGCGGCGCGCCTCTCGGACGCCACCAGCGGGAGGCACTCGCACTGCCACCCGGGGCTGCTGCTCAAGATGCTAAGCCCGCGCCTCTCCGCCCGCGACGTGGTCTGCGTCGACACGGGAGATATCACGCTCTGGGCCTCCATCTCGCTCCGCCTCACGCGCCGCTCGGTCGTGCTGTCCTCGGAGCGGCTCGGGACGATGGGGTACGGGCTGTGCGCCGGGATCGCGGCGTCGATCGAGCGCGGAGGCGACGCGAGGGCGATCGTCATCGTCGGCGACGGCGGCTTCCAGATGACGCTCAACGAGCTCGGCGCCGCGACCCAGCAGTGCGGCGTGTCCGGGACATGTCCGGGACATGTCCTTGACGTGCGCGCGGCGCGGTCCCGTAGGCACCGCGATCCAGCACGGGTGCAGGCTCCTCCTCCTCGTGATCGACAACGGCCTGCTCGGCCGCGTCGAGCACGGCTTCAAGAACGCAAAGGGCTGCGAGATCACCGGTTGCGATTGGGTCGCGTTGGCGCGCGCGTACGGCGCCGACGGCATGCACGTGGCCCGAGACAGCGAGATCGAGGCCGCCCTCGACGCTGGCCTGAGTGCGAAGGGCGTCTTCGTCCTCGCGGCGCGGTGCGACCCGGCGCTCAGGGCCGAGATGGCAAAGACCTCGGACGGCATCATGCCGCCGTGGCTCGAGCCGCCAGGCAACCACGTGGAGTCAGGCTGAAGGGGCCTGACCACGGCAGGAAGGGACTGCGTTCCACGCGCACCGGTTTGTACAGGGGAGGCGTGATCGTGTGGTGGGCATTCTCCGTTCTTTCTGAGGGGGGTGAAGGTGTGTCTCGGTGCTTTGGCTTGCGCGTCGTTTTGTGGTGGGTTATGTGCCGTCGCGCAGAGCACACGCGACCGAGAGCGCAGATCCAACTTCGAAGTGGTGGACTGGTGTCACAGCGGTACTCTCTCTTCGGTACTTGTAAAGCCGTAGAGACCTGCCTATGCGCCCTGAAGGCAAAGCCGAAATCACACTCTGCGAGACGTTAGTAACTAAACAGAGGCGCGAGGGGTCTGCCCCCCACCCTCCGCAAGGAGTCCTAGCGTGGTAAAGGTAAGCTCCCGGACGGGGCACGAGCTACGTCGGCGGCTCACTCCGCGCTCCGCCATCATTGCAGGCCAAAGCCCTTCGCGTTGTGAATGGCGATGCCCAGCCGGTCGCGCATCTTGCCACGACTGGTGTAGGCGGGCATCGCGAGAAGGTTAAAGCAGGTGTGCGAGTGCGGCAGTGCCATCGAGTCTGGGCCTGACTTTTGCAGGATCAGCTTGAGCTTGCCGAGCCCGCCCACGGGCGCGCGGTCGCAACCCGTCGCGAAAGCCAGAAGGGCGCGCTTCTCGTCTGTCGAGTAGGCGTGCACAACCTCCCAAAAGTGCTTCACCGTCACATCCGTCTCCCGAAAGCCGTCGTACCTGGTGTTCGCCTGCACCCAGGCACGTGCCGCTGGAGGGAGGCCGGGAGGGGGCGAGGGGGCGAGGGGGCGAGCGGGGCGAGCCTGCAGAGCCGCAAAGTCGAGGTGCGGCGTGCCGCAGACCAGCTCCTCCAGCTCCTCCGGCGAGAGGAAGGAGAGCGCCGGCCCGTCGCACAGCGTGAGCAGCCCGCGCCGGAAGGCGTCAAAGGCGGGCCGGACCCCGGTGAGCAGGATGTGCTCCACCACCAAGCGGACGTACTCCTCGCGGCTCTCGTTGGTCACAGGCCGGTCGGCACCGCCAGGCAACAACTCCACAGTCTTTGGCTCGCCGCACGCTGTGGCCGCGACGGTGAAGGTGGCCATGAAGGTGACCTCGACGTCGCCGTCGAACTCGAGCAGCTGGGCCAGCCCGCGCGCGAGCTCGGGGTCGACCTGTTTCAGCGACTCGAGCGAGGCGGAGGGCTCGCCGAGGACCTGGCTGAAGAGCAGCGTCGGCACCTTGAGATCGAGGATGATGCCTAGGGCCAGGGCCAGGGCCAGGGTCAGGGCGAGGGCGAGGGCCAGGGGTGTGGAGCCTGTCGAGGAGGAGGACGGTGCCGTTGTGAATGGCGAGGCCGACGACGAGGCCGACGAGCAAGTAGTCCGCCGCGCCCTCCTGCGCGAGGCTGTCCCTTGAGAACCAGAAGCAGCGCACCTCCTCGTTCCACACGAAGAGCCCGTACCCTCCCGTGAAGAGCGCCTCGATGAGCAGCTGGAAGAGCTCCTTCCGGAGACCGCCCTCGTCGATGCCCTCCTCGCCGACAAAGACCACGCGCAGCGGCTTGAGCAGCGAGAGAGGCGTGTTGCCCGCGAGGCTCTCCAGAGCGTCCTCGACGAGGCTCGCGCGCCGGACGCGCAGCACCAGAAACGGCGCCGCCGCATCCGCGGCAGCCACCTGCCCACCGGCAGAGGTGTGAAGATGCGCCGTGCACAGCCTCGCGACCGCGCTCCAAAGCAGCCACGTCGGCGGGGAGCCAGGCCAGCGCGCCGCGCTTTGCGCCGATGCCCAGCCGCGGCTGCGGCCCAAAGAGCGAGTGGCGAAGCGCGACCTGCTGGCTGTGCTGCATGCGCAGCGCAGCCTCCAGCTGCAGCAGCTTGCCCTTGGCCGCTACCGAGAAGAGCCACGGCTGCGAGCAGAAGGTAAAGCCGGCCTCGCCCTGCGCCCAAGCCGCGTAGTCTCGCTGCAGCCCGGACGGGCCGGTCTGCTGGTGTGTGCCGTTGGGAAGCTGCTGCGTCGGGACGGCGCACAGCCGCTCCGACAGGGCCGCGCAGCGAAACTCGGCCGCGGGGACGGCGGGCAACCCGCGCGCGGCGGCGAGCGCAGACGCGTCTCGCGCGAGCGAGAGTGTGCCGACGACGGGCGCCACTCGCTCTGTGAGGGCGGCGAGGGACCCGCCGCGGCAGAAGAGCCGCTCGAGCAGCTCTCGGAGCGGGCGGACGACGCGCCCGCCGAGCACCTCGTTCGGCGCCGCCGAGAGGAGCTCCGCCGCCCGGCGCGAGGCCGGCGGCGAGAGGGAGGCGAGCCTAGGAAGTGAGTGTCTAGGGAGTGTCTAGGAAGTGTGTAGGAAGTGTCTAGGCGGCGAGAGGTAGGCGAGCCGGCCCGCGAGGGTCAGCGCGTGCGCCTCCTCGCTCGAGTGGGAGAGGAGCGGGTTCTGGAGCAGCGCCTGTGCAACATGTCTCGGACATGTCGCGCGCGTGTCCTGGACATGGCCGGAGCGCGGTTCCGGAGGAGCGCCAGCAGCGCGACCGTCTGCGCGCCCTGCGCCGCCTCGATCTCGCCGCCGAGGTGCGAGAGCAGGCGCGGGATGGAGGCGCGCAGGGCCGCAACCACGGGAGGCGCAGCCTCGTACGTGCGCATCAGCGTCACGTACGTCGCCTCGAGCGCCGCGGGGTCGTACGACCCGTCCGCCGCGCCGAAGCACGCGGCCAGCAGCGCCGGCGACGCGAAGACAGCGCCCACCCGCTCGGCGAGCTCGCCCCACCGGCGGCCGTCTGCGAGGCAGAGGGCAGACCCGGCGGAGAGGGCGGGAGGCTGCGGCGGCCCAAGCTCGCCCGCCGCCTGCCCGACGAGGACAGCGCTGCCTAGGAAGTGAGTGTCTAGGAAGTGTCTAGGAAGTGTCTAGGAAGTGTCGCCCGACGAGGACAGCGCTGCCGTAGCCGCCCGCAGCGACGCAGCGAGGCGCGATGCCGAGCGGCAGGGGCAGCCGCTCCGCGTGTGGCCGCTCCAGCGCAGCTCCGGCCCCGAGCTGGCCGTAGTCGCCGACGCCCCACGAGTAGACGGCGGCGTCGCCTCCGCCGCAGAGCGCGAGGCCGTGCGAGCGGCCGGCCGCCACGGCGGTGCAGCTGGCCGGCAGCTCGAGCAGCTGCGGCGTGGCGGTGCCAGACGGAGCGGCGCCCGCGGCCGAGCTGAGCGCCTCTGCGGAGAGAGCGCGCCTCCGCGGCGAGGGGGGCTCGCCTCCGCCCTCGCCCCTCGCCCCGCCGCCGCCGCCTCGCGGCTGGACGCCCTTGCCCCAGCAGTAGACGCTCCCGTCCTCGAGCAGCGCCATCGCCCAGTCGGAGCCGGACGCGGCGGCCACAGCGCGGCGGCCGCGCAGCGCAGGCACCGCACGGGGTGTGGGCAGGCCGCGCGCCTCCGAGCCGGCCAGGAGCGGGAGGCCGAGCGCGCCTGCGGGACGCGCGTTGTGGGCGCGTCGTGGGCGTGAGCTAGGAGCGGGAGGCCGAACGGTGCGCGTGTCGTGGGCGTGTGGTGGGCGTGTGGTGGCGTGTGGTGGGCGTGTGGTGGGCGTGTGGTGGCGTGTGGTGGGCGTGTGGTGGGCGTGTGGTGGGCGTGAGCTAGGAGCGGGAGGCCGAACGCACCGTGACGGCGCGATCCCCACGCGTAGACGTCGCCTGCAATCGAGACTGCGACGGCGTGCCTCTCTCCGGCCGCGACGGAGCGCATTGGCGTTGCGGAGAGCGAGGCGAGCCGTGTCGGGGCGGCCCTGCCCTCAAAGTCGCCGACGCCTGCGGAGTGGCAACACTCGTCAGGGCCGCGACCCCCGCGAGGCGTGTGTGCGGCGGTGCGGTGCCGAGCTCCCCGTGCACGTTGGAGCCGCAGCCCCAGAGCACCGCCTCGCGGTCGATCAAGATCGTGAAGGCGCCGCCGCAAGACACGTCCGCCACAGCGCCGAGGTGGACGAGGCGAGGCCTGCGGACGTCGAGCGCGCCTCCGTCGCCGTGGCCGCCCTGGCCGTGGTCGTTGGCGCCAAAGGTGAGCAGCTCGCCGTCCGAGGTGACGACGGCTGAGTGCTGCGCGCCCGCGGCGACGGTCGCGACCGCCTTGGTATTGAGCGCCTCGATCCGGAGCGGCGACGTGATCTGCTCCGGGCTGTGCACTCCGCACTGGCCGCAATAGTTGTCGCCGACCGAAAAGACGGTGCCCTCATCCGAGAGCAGCAGTGCGTGGCTCAGGCTGAGCGACACGCGAGCGACACGCACGCCGGGAAGCAGCAGCGGCACCGGACTAAGCAGCGCGTCGCAGACCGGCCCGCCGAGGAGCTGGCCAGACTCGTTCGCGCCGCAGACAAAAACCTCGGCTGGCGGCTCGCGCGGCTGCGGGTCTTCTTCCATCCGTGATGAAAAATGCCCGAGACTGGTAAAGCCAAAGAAAAGAAAATTGAGAATAACGAACCGCAAGACCAACAGCTAGTCGGCGCCACTTTTGGGGCCGATGATTGCCATACCGCCGCTCTCTCCGCGCGCCCGGGCGCCAGCCGCAGCTGCCCTCCTCCTCCTCTCGCTCGCCCTCCTCTCCGTGTCATTTCGCGCGTGGCCGCCTCTGCTGCAAGGAGGAGACGGCCGGGCAAACAGCACCCGCGCCCGCCTCTTCGACGCTGGATTCCTGTTCGCCAAGACGGATGTCAAAACGAACGTCAAGACTACCGTCGGAGTCGGCGACAAGCCCGCCCAGCTCGCACTGGAGTATGCAAAGTCTGTCAGCGGAAAGGCGCACGGAAAGGGGCAGGGCAGGAGGCGGCCGGCCTGGCGGCGGCAGAAGGGCTACTCATACGGCGCGGCAGCTGCGTCCTATTATTCTGCGGGCTCTTACGGCGCCGGCTACTACGATGGAGGCTCCCGGCTCGGAGTCCGCGCAGTGCCGCCTCCTGAGAAGGAGCGAGGCCTCGCGGCGACCTCCAGCGCGGCGACCTCCAGCGCAGCGCGGCGACCTCCAGCCGACTCTGCTTTGGCCTCCGCCGACGCTGCGGCCGCGACCGACGCGTCCGGCGCCGCTGCTCGCGACTTTGACGGTTTCTTCACGCTGATGGAGGTCAAGGTCGAGACGAACGTGCCAGTCACCGTCGGCGTGGGCGACAAGGCGGCTGCCGCTGCCATCGCCTCTGCCTCCAAGGAGAGCGGAGGGGTGACCGCAGACCTCACAGACAGCTCGCCCCAGGAGTACGAATACTCCTACTTCTACTCCTACGGCGGGGCCCGCCCCGTCGGCGGAGGCCGCTTTGCCAGCGGCGGCGGCGGAGGACGCTTCGGCGGCGGAGGACGCTTCGGCGGCGCCGCCGCCGCCAAGCAGTGGGGGCCGCACCGTGCTTCAAAGCCGCCGCCGCCGCCCCCCGCGCCTCCGCCGCCTCCTCCGTCGCCGCCATCGCCCCCGACGGGCTTTGGGGATGACGGCTTGCGCCTGGCCGAGGCGGAGTGGGCGACGGCAACGCCCGCCCCGAAGTCGGCGCACAGCCAGCCCGTCCGAGAAGCGGCTGCCAAGGCGCCGTCGGGTGGCGGCGGCGGCGGCGGCGGCGGCGGCCCACTAGGCTGGTTCGATTCCTACAAGCCGCCCGTCAGCGTGAGCGTGGCGCCCAAGATCGCCTTCACCGGCTCCTCGAAGACCTGCTCGTGCAACGCCTGCGACGGGACGCCCTGCTCGCCCGGCGCTGGCAACAGCGCGCACCGCTGCAGCCGGTGCGGCCCGTCCACCCCGGCGTGCTACGGCGATTCCTCCTCGCCGGCGGGCCGCGGCGCTTGCTTCTTTGTCGGAGAGCCCAATCTGGAGGGCGGCCTCTGCGACTGCCCCTAGCGCGACCCGGCACGGAGGGCGCGCGCGAGAGTGTCCCTGTGCCGCGGAGAGAGAGAGAGACAGCCGAGAGAGAGAGGGAGGGAGACTGAGTTTATGACCAGTGCACATTAGCCAGTGTGGGGTTCCTCTCCACGGATAAGGCCAAGAAAAACTAAAAACTGACAAGAGGAATGGGAAGGGGGGGAAAGAAAAGGCGGGATCTCGGAGGGAATCTGCTCTCCGTTGCAGACCGAAAAACTCAAGACTGCCCGCCGCCGGGTTTCGCAACTTATTAGGCAATTGCTTGGCCTGTGTGGGGCGTCGGCGACTTCGACATCGCAGCGTGATTTGGCCGCGCAAGGCCTACTGCTTTGGCGAAGCGGGCGCGCGACCCGTCATCGATGCTCCCCCTCCTCGCGCTTGGGATCGGGGCGACGGCGGCACTGCTGCCTCCGCCGCTGCCGCCATCATTACTGCCATGCTTGGCGCAGCCACCCTCACCCCCCGCCTCCTCCGATTCCATCTGCGACTTCGTTTTGGGCTGTCCAGTTCATTGGATGGGCGCAAACGACGGCTGTGACTGTGAGCCCAACACCGGCGGGGTCCCTGAACCCTGTTCTGCGGACACTGACTGCCAAGGATATGTCGCAAAGGATCGCCCGGATGCGTCCCAGTACCACGACTGCGATCCAGGCCGAGCTCCTTTCGGTTTGGCTCTCGATTTTGTGCCGTACGACCAGGACCCTGACATGGACATCAACTACCTCGGCGGTCACCAGGGCAACCTCAAGAATAACAGCTGCACAGGTGTGACTGTTGGAGATGACTGTCCTTGCGGCTGCGGCTGCAACTGCACAGATGCACCGCCTTCCGCGCCGCCTTCCAGCGAGGCGATGGAGATGCGCCTGCACCGAGTCGGCTACACTTTTGATGGCACAGGTGGCTACCAAGAAATCGACCTCGTCGTCAAGAGCCTGACGGCATATACGCCATGGGACAGCACGCAGAACGGCCGCTATTCTACAAATGGAAGCCTCGGCACGGAGTTTGCACAGGTGAGTCTACAGGCCAACACGTCCACGACGTTCGAGTACCGCTTCGTAAACAACGGCACCAGCATTCCGGCAACAATTACAGGCCAGTTCGACTTTTGCTTCTTCGACATCGACACCGGTTGGCATGAAGACGGTGCCACGCCCGCGTGGTGCACTCAGGTTGATGATCTGGAGGATATTGGCGCGCTGGAGAGCTACATCGATCGCTCGCAGGTGATCCTCTTCTTCCTCTCTAAGGGGTACTTTCGAAGCAAGGCAAGCCCCCCCCCCCCCCCCATCCCAAAAAACCGGGCCGACACGGTAGTCCACTCTCACCCCATCGCATACCGGTCTCGCCCACGCGGGAAGCTTCCGGCCTCACCTTCACCGTGCCCCTCAACCCCTCACAGAATTGCCTGCGCGAGATCCGCTCCTCGCTGGAGAAGCGGAAGCCGCTCGTTCTCGTTCAAGAGGCGGACCCAGCCAAGGGCGGCGGCACGATCAAGGCGGCCCGGAGTATACGCTAGAAAGCGCAGCGCCGTGTGCGCACCTCACCCCCGCGGCCTTGGCTGCAGGAACTGCGAGCCGAGTGCCCGGAGGACCTCCAGCCTGCCATCTTCGACGCGAAGTGGCCGCTGGTTGTGTGGATGCGCATCGAGGAATTCCAACTGGTCTCGCTCAAGATGCTTTCTGAGGCGCCTCATCTATTCGCGTCACCCACTACACCCCACTGCAGTGCTCACCTGCCGCTCCATCCTCAGGCCCTGCTTTTGAAAACGCCAACCTACGCTGCGTCCAAGTCGCTCCCGCTCACCGTGCCCGGCGAGCTGCAAGGCAAAAACCTCAGGTTTCCAAAGCAGGTTGTCCTCTGGGCGTCGACGGCCAACCGCGGTGCGCGGGGTATGGCGAACGAGCTCGCCACGGCCTTCACTGGCGTGATCGTAGTTGGTGGGGCGGAGATTCCGCAGCGAGCGACCCACATGCTGCTGTACCTGTGCGAGGCAACTTGGTCGGACGACCGGCTCGCTGAGCAGGTCGAGCGGGTGCGGGAGGGAGGGCTACCCATCGTCATGGCGCACGAGAACGACCCGGACCGCGACGGCTGCGCCTTTGCGCGATTTTTTGAGACCACACCGCAAGAGCTGGTTGCTTCCGGTATCTACCGCGACCTCGCCGTCGCATGCTTCCCGGGTCTGCACCGCGAGGCGCGCGCGTCCCCCGCCTCGCCGTGTCTCCGGCATTCAGGCCAAGAGAATTGCCTGGGAGTCGAATCGTAGGTGTCCCTTGCCCTTTTGGCGAAGGTGCTCGGCGCCACCCCGAGTCGCGCTCGAAAGGGGTCCATGCGTGAGCTCAGTCGCACCGTGTCCGAGTCACTTTCGCCTCGCCGGAAGAGGCGCTCCTCCTCGACGCTGGCCGAGCCTTCCGCCTCAGGCTCCAGCTCTGCAGGCCCTTCGGTCAAGCCGGTCAAGGGCGACGCGGGCGACGCGGGCGTGCTGCTGGTCGGGGGAGACGAGCGTCCGACATGCTCGGACGAGCCGTCGACGAGCCGTCTCTCCTCCGACACCGAGGAATTGGACAAGGCGGCGCCACCGCCGCAAGTCGACCGCGTGTAGTCGCGCTCGAGGGACGATCTTTTTGGAGGGCTCTAGTGCATCACTCCCTCTTCAGTCTCCTCACACACTCCGCACATGTGCGTGGGCATGGTGGGGGCGCGCCGATTCTGTGCACAGCTTGAACGCCGAGTTGCATGCGCCCGTGTGGCCCCCATCCCCATTCGAGTGTGCAGTCGAGGCTCGAGAGCTCTCGTCTGACTCTCCGTTCTCTTTTGTGGTTCTCGTGCTGCGCGTGTCGCACAGGGCGCACCGACACTGACACCGACACTGTCGCCACGCGCGGTGTGCGCCCGGTGGTGCGAGTCCGCGACCCTCTCTCTCTGACAGTGTGTTGGCATTTTTGATGTTTTCGGTTGTCTGGGGGGGTGTCCCCGGGCCGGGGCGGCGCACCGCGGGGGTTTTCGTAGTCGCGGGCAAGATTCATGTTTCAAAGTAAAAGTCATGCGTACGTTACGTGAGTTCTGTAGTCGATCATACCCTAGTGCAATACGACACGATCTTAAACGAGTGTAGACATGGAGAGCGCTGCCGGTCCCGCTGTGTGCCTCGGAGCCCCCCCGGAGTGTGTAGCTGCTAGCTCTACCGGCCGTAGCCCGCCGCGACGATGTTGGCGTGCACCGCCTTGTCGGTCGCGTCCGACGCGTACCCTGCCGTCACGACGCCCTCGTAGAATGTTCCGACCGCCCAGTCGCTGCTGTCGCCTCCTATTCCGAGGATGATGGCGCCCTGCTTCTTCATCGGCTGGTACTTTGGCGGGCGGGGGCCCTCGTACAGCTTCTTGAGGCCGTCCGAGCGCGTCGCGTCGCCGCCGAGCAGGGCGAAGCCGTTGCTGCCGCCTTTGACCATCGCCGTCACAAACTCGGCGCCTGTGATGGGCGTGTTTGACGCCTCCACCTTGTCCTTGCCCGCCCACAGACCATTCTCGATGTCGGCCATCACCCACGGGCCGTCGCCCGCCCCGCGGCTCCAGCCCTTCGAGTCGCCCCAGTAGATCGCCTCCATCGTACCCTTGCCGTGGTCGAGCGCGTCGATCTCGGCGTTGCCATAGTCGAAGCAGCAGCCTCCGTTGTAATGGCGGCCCGCCGTTACCATGTACCTGAGCCGGAGCGGGCGCGCGGCGGCAGACGGGGTCGGGGCTTGAGGCGCTCCTCTCTCGAGGCTCCTCCGCCAGGCAGGCGGCAGACGGGGTCGGGGCTTGAGGCGCTCCTCTCTTGCAGCGCCTCAGGCAGGCACCACGCAGGGCCGGGGGGCGCGTGCACATTGTCTCGGGCTCGTTCCCGGTGGCGACGCCCCAGGTCGAGTCGCAGCGGTAGCCCATGCCACCCTCAAAGTAGGCGCCGTACACCGTGCGGCCGCCGACGGACAGCTTGTGGCGCGCGGCGTTGACGCCCCTCTCCGAGTGCTTGCTGGCGCCACCCCACGGCGCGCGGTTGAGGTGGTTGCCGCGCTCGGTCTGGTCGAAGATTCGCGTGACCGTGCAGTTGGTGCCAGCGCAGAAGGCATCCTGCGAGGCCACCGCTGCAAGCCCCTCCTTGACCACCACCACGTCGGACGCCAGATCGGAGGATCGCTGCACGAGGTAGAGAGGGCCGCTGTAGTTTGCAAAGAGCGAGCGCGTCATCGAGTGCGCCGCGACGCAGGGCGTGCCCGCGGAGGCGTAGATATCGCACGGGCCCGGGGAGGGCGGCGCCGCAGGGAGGGCAGACAGAATGAAGGCGGCCATCATGACAGCTCGATCGTGGTGAATCTGCCGGGTGGGATTGCGTGCAGCGTCCAGGCGCAGGGATGGCCAGCTGGAGGGAGGCGCTTCAGTCCCCAGCCAGCCTTGATAGCTGGAAACGCCGACTTCGAAAATCTTGACAGAAGAATTTAAACAACACAACTCTCTCTCACAACACACAGGCTCGACACAGGTGCGAACTGACGTACGACGCCCACCCCGGCACTCCCCTGGCAGAAGAATTTAAAAACAACACAGAAGAATTTTTCCAAAATGCTCTCTCTCACAGCGCCAACATCATCGGTGGAGGTACAAGTGTTCGAAGAGAGAGTGGACCTGAGCAACGATATGACTTGGCGGCAAATGATCGCAGTGGGCGTCAGAAGAGTCGTCCTTGGACCTTGCGCGAGGAGAGCTCGATAAACTCGAGGGGCCGAAATATGCCGCGAGGAGGGCAGAGTTGCGCCGAAAGGCGGGAGAAGCCGCGAGAGCAAGGGATCGGCAGGCGGCGGCGGCGTCGCGAACGAGGCAGACGAGAGCGACGCGACAGAGGAGGAAGCGAGAAGGGAGAGAACGACGAGAGTGGGACGACAGTGAGGTTGGCATGAAGGTTGCAGCGAGAATCGGCGAGGGACTGCGAAGGGAGATGGAAAGAGGCAGACGACCAAGGGTTAGGGTGGGCGACGGCTAGCACCACACTCCTCTCCTTAAAATCCCTGTGTGGTGGCGGCGTGCCGTCCTCCCATCCCTCCCTTGGGTTCTCTGTTTTCTTTCTTTCTCTCTTTATTCTCTCTCACAGCAGAAGAATTACTACTCAATAGACCGGGCACGCGCGCGAGAAACAGCGAGCGTACTAAGAGATCCAAAGCGTCCTTGGAGCTTGGTTGCTCTTCACACCTACTGCTGTGAACAGGTATGGCTGGGAGGGCGAGGAGGTCTGGGTGCCAACTCAGAGTGTGTGGCAGCCAGCTGGCTGTGTGTCTTGTGAGCCTGTTTGTGTCTGTGTGTCGCTCGTGCGTGCCGTCATCATCTGTCCAGCGTCCACCCATACCGCGTTGGTGTCCAGTCCGAGCCTGGCTTGTTCTTCACCTCTTCCTACATACATACATCTGGGTGGCGCGACGGCCTGCGCGGGACGTTCCGCGTCCACTTCTCGCCGTAAAGGTCGGGCGCTGCCTGGGAAGGCGGCCGCTTTGGGAGGGGGGCTGCTTGTTCGACTGGCGATGCACACTGCGTGGGCGTGTCGCTACGCAAAGTACGAAGGGCGACTGCGGCACCGACTGGGGTTGTCTGTGCACTGTGGCCGTGTATGGGTACTAGTACGAAACCTGCTTTTCTTTCACACACACAAGGCTTACCCGTGACGAAAAACGAACGCACACCAAGCGCTAAGCGTGCATCTAAGCAAAATTGGGCTCAGGTGTGGAAAAATTATAAGGGTCAATCTGCCGATTCGATCCGGAAGCCACTCGACCACCGAGCGGCCGACGGCCGAAGTAAGCAGAGTAGATGATGGTCTGAGGTAGCGTTCAAATCAGCGACCGATACCCGTAACACATTACCGGGGGAATTAGACACAACAGATACGCACAACCGACGCCCGAAGTGCCAAGAAGGACGTCATTAGTACGAAACCTCAGAAGGCCATGGGCGCCGAGAGAACATTCCCCCGAGAGCAAAAAAGAAAAAGCACAACCAAACCTCCTTGCGCAGTGACCCTCGCTAAGTGTCGCCGTCATCGGGGCACGCTATCCTGTGCAGACAGGGCAAGCGAGGGCGAGGCGCACTCCCATCTCTCCTGTGTACGGATGGTGACTGTCCCTAGTCTCGGAGGCAAGGGCGAAGCTAAGAATATTTAATTTTTCACACACAAGGCAGATCGCTTTTCTTTCTGCTTTGTTGTAAAATTCTTTCTAGGTCCACCCTAACCCAGGGTTCCGGCTCCTACCCAGATAGGGGGTCTGTTGCCTATGACTCGCACCAAAACGCCCTACCTACCTACCTATTGCGGGCGCCAATCGCCAGGCTCCGTGCCCCACCTACCTACCTATTCCCAGCCGCGCAGCGAAGCGAAAAAATACCCGTTGGCCCTCTGTGAATAGGCTCCCAGCGCCCGCCGCGCGCCGGCTTGTACCGCGGTGCGCGCCGCTCGCGAGCCCGCCAGAGCATGGCCTACTGGGCTCTCGAGGCGTTGGACGGCTCCAAAACGGCACTCTCTTCCCTCGACAGAGTCGAGGGCACGGACCCTCCCGCCTACAAGCCCACCACCACCACCTACCTACCTATTGCGGGGCCCTCTGGGGCGGTCAAAAAAATATCCCCCTATCTGGGTAGGGAGGGGGGGAAGTAATCTGAAACTGCAACGATGCATGCGTGCAGCACGAACGAACGGCTGCGATTCAGCGGTCGCGCCGCTGAGCGTTCAGGTCGAGCTCGGCGAGCTGAGCAAGATCATCCAGCGGCGCGACAGCTGAATCGCAAGCGTTGAGGAACGCGAGACAGATCGCGTTCCGCGTTTCAGTTTCGAAAAGGTACCACCCTCCCTAGGAGCCGGAACCCAGTTTCGTGTTGGGCTTCAGCTCCCAAGCCCTGTGGCGCCGGTCTTCACTGCTACCGAGCCGTGTCATGGTGTTCCCCGCTGAACAGCTAGATGAAGAGCTGGCCGGAGCGCTCTTGAGGCTCATCCGAGAGCGCACCACCGACGAGGCTGGACTTAGGCTCGAGGTTGCGGCCCATTTTCTCGCACCTACCTTTAGCTTGGAGCAGATCGAAAAGACGGTGCGGCAGTTGGTCACCCGCGGGCTCATGTACTCGACTATTGACGATGATCACTACGCCGCCCTAGAGCTCGAAAATGGTTTCTGGAAGAGGCTGCGAGCAGCTGTTGGCGCGCGCGACATTGATACTGTCAGGACGCTGCTCGATGTGTTTCCCTCGGGCCTCGATGAGGACCGTGACAGCGACGGGAACACGCTGTTGATGACGGCGTGCGCTGGCTATTCTGGGACCATGTCGGAAATTAACAAACACCACATCGTCGACGCGCTCCTCAAAGCCAAGGCAGACGCGACAGCCCGCAACAGCGCTGGTGATCACGCCCTGTCGCTAGCCATGCGCGCGGCCGTCTACGAGGTCGAAAGCTTAAGTTTCCTGCCGGCAGAGATGTGCATCAACCACCTCATCACAAGACAACCGGAGTGCATATGCCTACAGGACAAGGATGGGCTTACGACAGAAGACCTGGCGCGCGGCATAGGCGTTCCTCACGTCGTGGCGAGGCTGGAGGAGGCCCGGTACGCTATGGTCACATCGCCACTTCTTCTTGCATGCGTTGAGAACAATGCCGATCAGGTGGCCGCGCTGCTCGAGGCTGGCAATGTAGCGGCGCTGGCTGCGGAGCGCGATATCTTTGGCAACAATGCGCTCATGCTTGCGTGCGGCAAGAGGGTGACCGAGCCAGAGGAAGGGATGGCTGATCTTCACAGAAGGCATTACGAAGAAAGCAAAGATAAAGCCGCCAAAATCGTGCGCCTCCTGGTCGACGCACGGGCCAACCTTCACGACGTCAATTCTCGACCGGCTGCGCCGGGCGAGAAGCACCGACTCTCCAGGAGCTACCAGCTCAACCTCCATGACGTGGTCTGGTTGGAGGACACGCGCGGCTGGAAGGCCCTCCGATTCGCTGCGTTCAGCGGAAACCTCTCGGCCGTCGGCATCCTGCTCGAAACGGGGTCGTATGGCGCTGATGATGTAAGGGCGGCCGCGGCGGATGCTGAGCGCGCGCCGCAAAACCTCTGCGGCATTCCTATGAAGAAGGTGGCGCTGCAGCTCAACGCGTACCTTCAGCGCGCCGCCGACGCAGCGATGGCGGCGCTGCTAGCGGAGGAGGAGGTGGCGCCTCGTCCAGCAACCGAGCGGAGGAAGGGTAAGCAAAAGGTCAAGGCGCAGCCGTCGCCGAGAGTGGCAGAGCCAGCGGCGGTCGCGTGCGACCCAGCGGCAGTCGCTGTGGCCGACGCGGCACTCCGTTCCGCGACAGAGGCGGGCACCGTGGACGAGATCGCGCACGCCATCGAGGCGTATCTGCACGTCGCAAGCTCTGACGCGGTCGCGGAGGCGCGGCAGGCCAAGTCGCGGCTCCTCAAGAAGGCGAAGAAGCAGCGCCAGCGCCAGCGGGCGGGCGAGGGAGGCACTTCGGCGACAGTGTTGGAGGCCCCGTTGGCTGGGGGAGCGGCGGCCCTTGAGGTAGTCGATACAGCAGCTGTGGCGGAGGCCGTTGGGGGAGAGGCGGTGGAGGAGGAGGCGACGGCGGAGGGGGCGGAGGGGGCGGGAGCCGCGGTGGGGGTAGTGGCGGAGACGGAGGCAGCGGAGGAGGGGGAGGCAGCCGGGAGCGGGGAGGCAGCCGAGCACGAGGAGGTCCCCGACGAGTACACGTGCCCGATCACTCATGAGCTGATGACGGACCCAGTCCTTGCGACGGATGGGCATACGTACGAGCGGACGGCGATTGAGCGCTGGCTTCAGCGTAGGGCAACCAGCCCGAAGTCGGGTCTTGCCCTAGAGTCGACCATGCTCTTCCCCAACCACATTCTCCGGCGAATCATCCTTGAGTGGAAAGAGATGAGGTAGTCTGTGCACAGAAAGGGCTGCGTGTACTGTTATATGATAGTAATAGAGCAGTTTGGTCGGAGGGCGCCCGGGTCGCCCCGGAGCGGCCCCGCGCGGGGAGGTGGGTGGAGGGCGGGCGCCACGCCGTCGGGCAGGCCGCGCGGGGACGCAGCCGGGGCCAGCGCGCGGAAGCGAATAAACCATAGGGCTCCTCCGAGCTCCGTCCTCCGTGCTCCGAGTGTGTAAAAAAAGCCAAGAGAGGGGTTGGAGGGCGGGAGAAGCCAAAAAAGCCGTCCGAAAAGCCACAAAAAGCCAGCGAGCCTCCCGTTACGCGATTGCCGCGAAAAGCCGCGTAAGGGACGAGGACAGGGGGGAAAAAGCGCATAAAAGAAAGAAAGAAAGAAAACACACAACCCAAGGGAGGGATGGGAGAACGGCACGCCGCCACCACACAGGGATTTGAAAAAAGCGCATGGAAAGACAAGTGCTCCGCAAATTCTTTCTTCACGGTACCAGGTACTGCCCCGGTACTGCGCCATTGTCTCGGCGTCCGATGCCGGCCCTCCTCTTCCTCCCGTGCGCCGCCGCCGCGGTCGTGCTGCCGCTGCGGCCGGCGCCGTGCGCCCGCGCTGCCGCCGCGGCGATGCAGGCGGGCTCGGAGCAGACGATCAGCAGCGGCGGCGCGTTTGGGTCGGAGGACATCACGATCCGGTCGGGCGCGGCGTACCTGGTGGGCCTCGACATACGGCGCGAGCGGTACAAGACGCTCGCAGGCAACGCCGAGCGCGGCGCTGCGTGGACGCTCGACGACTCGCTCGACGAACTCAAGAGGCTTTGCGACACGGCAGGGCTCGATGTGCGCGGCCGCTGCTGCCAGGCGGTGCAGCACCCGAGCGCCGCTACCTTCGTCGGGTCGGGCAAGCTGGAGGAGATTCGCGACTCGGTCGAGGCGCTCGCGCCGGGAGGGGATGGCGGCGGAGTCTTTTTCCCGCCCCTCGCGAGGCCTCGCCTTGCCCCGCAGGCGCTTCGGATCGAGACGGTGGTCTTCGACGACGAGCTCTCGCCCGCGCAGCAGCGCAACCTGCAGTCGGCGCTCGGCGTGCAGGCGCTTGATTCAAGCTGCGGCCGCGCCGCACGCCCCTGCCTCTCCTCTGCTGGCGGCGGGCGCCTCTCGCCCCTCCTCCTCTCGCCTCCGCCGGACTCCCCCCGAGACCATCCCACCCCGGAGTCTCACCCCGGCCCTGCCTCACCTCGCGGCGCGCCTCCAGGTCGTCGACCGGACGATGCTCATTCTGCAGGCGCCATCCCCTCCCCCCTCCCTTTCGGAAACCTGTGGTGGCGGTCGCGATGACCGGAGACTGACGCGACCGCGCCCCGTGCCCTTGCGGCTGCAGATCTTTGCGCAGCGCGCGCGCACGCGGGAGGCGAAGCTGCAGGTGACGCTGGCGCGGATGCGGTACATGCTTCCGCGGCTCAAGTCCTTCATGACGACCGGCGCCGGCATGGATGCGAAGGGGGGCGCCGCGGGCGGCGGCAAGGGCGCGCAGAGGGCGCTTCCTCTCGCGGGGCGCCGGTGGGACGCGTCCCCGACGTGTCCGCGGCACGTCCCTCAGGCGCGGGCGGCCAGTTCCTCAAGGGGAGCGGCGAGTCGCAGCTCGAGAGCGACCGGCGGCTCTACCGCAAGCAAATCTCGCGCATCGAGGCGGAGCTCGAGCAGGCGCTTCCTGAGACGCTTCCTAGACACTTCCTAGACGCTTCCTAGACGCTTCCTAGACGCTTCCTAGACGCTTCCTAGAGCGCGACGGGGCGCGGCCTTATCCGAGGCGGAGGCGTGAAGAGGCGCTCTTCACGCCGCAGCTCTCATGTACATAGTATAAGCGCAGGTGAGGGCGACGCGCGAGCTGCAGCGCGGCGCGCGCAAGAAGCGGGGCACCATGCCGCTCGTCGCGCTCGTCGAAAGGGCCTAGGGAAGTGTCTAGGAAGTGTCTAGGAAGTGTCTAGGCACTATGCCGCTCGTCGCGCTCGTCGAAAGGGCCTAGGGAAGTGTCTAGGAGGTGTCTAGGAAGTGTCTAGGCACCATGCCGCTCGTCGCGCTCGTCGGCTACACAAACGCGGGCAAGTCGTCGCTGCTCAACCAGCTCTGCGCAAAGGTCGAGGGCGGCGAGGAGGTGTACGCCGACGACCAGCTCTTCGCGACGCTCGACCCGACGCTGCGCAGGCTGCGGCTTGCCTGGCGGGCGGGAGGTGTGCAGGGGACGCGTCCATGACACGTCCATGACATGTCCAGGCTGCGGCTGCCCGGCGGGCGGGAGGTGATGGTCGCAGACACGGTGGGCTTCATCCAGAAGCTGCCCGCCAAGCTCGTCTAGGAGGTGTCTAGAGGAAGTGTCTAGGAAGTGTCTAGGTGGGCTTCATCCAGAAGCTGCCCACCAAGCTCGTCTCCGCCTTCCGCGCGACGCTCGAGGCGAGTGTCCTCCTCCACACACGTACACGTACACGTGTCCGCACTCCTCCCTGCCCTCGCACCTCCCTGCCCTCGCACCTCCCTGCCCTCGCACCTGCCTGCCCTCGCACCTGCCTGCCCTCGCACCTGCCTGCCCTCGCACCTGCCTGCCCTCGCACCTGCCTGCCCTCGCACCTCCCTGCCCTCGCACCTGCCTGCCCTCGCACCTCCCTGCCCTCGCACCTCCCTGCCCTCGCACCTGCCTGCCCTCGCACCTCCCTGCCCTCGCACCTCCCTGCCCTCGCACCTGCCGCCCCAAGGTGTGCGAGGACGCCGACGTCGTCCTGCACGTCGTCGACTCCTCCTCGCCGATCGGGCGGCAGCAGGCGTGGTCGGTGCAGCAGATTCTGCGCGAGGTTGGCGCGGAGCACACGCCGCAGATCCTCGCCCTCAACAAGGCCGACGCCGTCCTCGCCGCCACCGCCAAGCTCCCCGCCCCCACCGAGTGGGTCTCGCTGCACGACACCGTCTCGCCGACGTATGCGGTCGCCATCTCGGCCACGCAGGGCAAGAACCTGCCCAAGCTCCTCTCCGCCGTCGAGAAGGCGCCGCCGTCGCGCTCTCGGGCCCGCGGCTCGTGCCCCGCCCTCACACGGACACCCCCCTCCCCCCTCTCCCATCCAGGCGCTGCTCTCCCTCTCGGTGCGGGTCTCGTGCGTGCTGCCGTACGCAAACGGCGAGCTGCTCGCCGAGATGCACAAGGTTGGCACCATCGTGGAGGAGGAGTACGTCGACACCGGCTGCCGCGTGGTCGCGTACGTGCCGCGCCCTCTCGCGTCGCGCCTCGGCAAGCTGCTGGGCGACGGCGAGGGCAGGAGTAGAGTAGAGATTGGCGCGGGGTCGAAGGCGCCCGAGTCTGTTGGCGACAGCAGCCCTGCCGACTAGACATCTAGAGAGCGCGCATGGCGGATTTTTAACGTGTGTCCGAATGTACTTTACCCCTTCAAGCATCGAGAAGGTGTATGTACTGACGTATTTACGTGAAAGAACGTATCAGCCTCGAATCAGCCGCTTGCTTGAGAGATTCGGAGATTCGCGAGAGATCAACAGTCGTGTCGAATGGGCAATGGGCAATGGCCCGCGCAAACCGCGCCGACGGCAGGAGCAGCACGCTGCTCGCTCCCGGGCCGCAGGCTCTCAGCTGCTGCTGCTGTCTCTTCTCTCGAGCTTTGCTTCCACAGCGGGCTCGTCAAGGCTGCGGGCCGCGCCTCCTTCGCCTTCGCCGATCGTGCGCCTCGCCCGCGCTGCAATCTCAGGGTCGACGTCCTGCCCGACGCGCTCGATCAGGCTCATCACCTGCCCGTCCGGGAGGTGCGGCGGGTGAGGGGTCGGGGTGGAACAGCGAAGGCGGTGGAGCGAGGGTGGAGCGAGGGCGGTGCAGCGAGGATGGAGCAGCGAGGGCAGAGCAGCGAAGCGCGTGCGGCCGGCGCCTCGGCGGCGAGCCCGATCTCGCGCGTGGCGATGCAGGCGGAGAGCAGCTTCTCGCAGGCCTCTGCCCGCGGGTAGACGGCGTGGCGGTCCATCAGCGCGAGCACGCGCGGCAGCTGCTGGATCCGCTTGTGCAGGTCGTCGCCCTCGCGCGCCACTGCGGCGAGCAGGAGCGAGAAGGAGACGGGCGTGTACCGAGGCTTCCAAAGCGACTTGCGCAGCTCCTCGTGCTCGTCAAAGACCTACCGACCCCGTGCCGCGTCCCGGACATGTCCACGACGCGTCCATAGGCTCGAGCGATCCGGCCTGCAGCGCGGCGGCGTAGTTGCCGGAGAGGACGCACATCTCGTACCTGAGCGCAGCGGGTCGGAGGCGTGGGGCGGGGCGAGCGAGGGGCGGTCGGGCAGAGGTCGCGTTGCTCGCATCGAGTTGAATGCCCGCTCCTCCGGCAGCAGCCGCACGTTGCCACACATGTGCTCGAAGAGCTCGAGGGCCTGCAGGAGATGGCGTGGCCGTGTCTGTGGCCGTGTCTGTGGCCGTGTCTCTGGGCGCGTGCCGCGAAGAGCCGCGCGGGCCTGCGGCACGGCGCCCGCCTTGCCAAAGGCGCGGATCAGCTCGTTGTACGTCCAGTAGTCTGGCCGCCTGGAGGGCTAGGCTGCGGCAGTAGAGGGCAGGCTCCGGCAGTAGAGGGCAGGCTGCGGCAGTAGAGGGCTCCAGCAGTCTGGCCGCCTCTCCGTCTCGCGCACGCCCTCTTCATCCCAGCAGTCTCGGGTTGAATCTCGGCAAATCTCGGCAGATCTCGCCTCTCCATCTCGTGCATGTCCTTCCACAGCCGCATCACAACCTGCGACCAAGCGACGCCCCGCCTCAGGCTCTCGCGAGCAGGCCCGGGCGCAGGTCGGGGCATGGCCGGAGGCAGCCTCGCCGTGAGCATGTTCGAGGAGTGTGGTCGGTCTAAGAAAGTGTCTAGTAGTGTGGAAGTGTCTCCTCGCCTTGAGCATGTTCGAGGTGAGGTGGTCTGGCACCTCGCCCTGCCCCACCCTGCGCATCGCAATCGTGCAGCCGCGGATGAGCATCTCGTACACGGCGTGACTCGGCACCTCCCCCTCGATCTTCATCTCCTGCGCGCGACGCGAGAGCGCGCGAGGGTCAGGGGCAAAGACAGAGGGCCGCCCGCCCGAGCTCCGCAGCTCGCCTCGAAGGTGCAGAGCGCCTGCAGGAAGGTTCCAGGAAAGGTCGAGGAAAGGTCTAGGAAGGGCTCGCCTCGAAGGTGCAGAGCGCCTGCGCGAGCTCTCCGGCGCGGAGGTGGTGGTAGATGACGGACGAGTACGAGGGCATCAGCCAGAGGTCGAGCCGCTGCGGCACCTACCGCGAGTTCCACACACCGCTCCGGCGGCTCCACTGCCCAGCTGTGCGCCGAGCCGCCTGCGGCACCCGCTCGAGGTACTCGGAGAGCCGGTGCACCCAGCGTGGAAAGGCCGGCACGTGCGAGGCCGGCTGCAGCGCCGGCTCGGCAGGGGAGGGAGCCGCGCTCGGCACGCCCGCCGCGTCGTCCCACGGCTCGCCCATGATGCTGCTGTATGCCCGCCCCACCTCTGCAAAGCGCTCCGCCGCGTCGGGCCGACCGCTCTGGTCGGGGCGGTAGGCGAGCGCTAGGTGGTAGTAGGCGAGCTTCACATCGAGCTCCGACGCGTCGGGCGGCAGGCCCAGCACCTCGTGGCTCGTGCTCGCCGGGCCGGCTGCTTGTACAGAAGGCGCGAGGGCCGTGTGTGGCGCGGGAGCGGCCTCGCTCGCCGGAGCGGCGCAGAGCGTGCGGAGCAGCGGCGGCGGCGGAGACGACCGACGCGAAAGGGCGCCGCCGCGGGCCGCTGCTGAGACGACGACCCGGCGAAGCATATCTACATAACGCGCCATGGGTTTTCTTTTTTGAAAGGGTGCAAGTGCACCGCTTTTGAAAACATCGCTCTCTCTGCTGGCCCAGCAAGTGCACTTTTGAACATGCAAACACAGCCATCTGTAAAATTCTTCTTTCCAAGCAATCTTCGCCAAAGGCTGGCCGAAGAGGAGCCGAAGGACTCGCCGCGGCTCTGCTCCAAGAGACCTCGTCGGGAGGTGCGTGCGTGTGTCTCTACTCGCCAGCTTTCGGCCTGTCGCTGGCCGACCGCTTCGGACTGGAGATGGCGTCCCGCGTTGCTCTTCCGCCGCCGGCAGCCCCGCCCAAGCCCGCTCCGGCCGAAGAGGACGAGGAGCTCGGCGAGCTCGCGTACTGCCAGCCGTGCGAAGAGACGGCGGAGCCGCTGCAGCGGCACGGCTCGCAGCGCTTCTCGAGCGTCGACGACCACGAGCTGGCGTGGGAACGCTACCGCGAGGCTCCGGCCTCGCTCTTTGGCTGCGCCGGCATCAACGCGGCTGGCGTGCAGCGCATCGACCTCCCGTTCAGGCCGCACGAGGTGGACCTCGTCGCCGAGTGGCTCGACCGCACGGACGCCGACGGTGCGGCCGGGCTCGACGCGCTGAGGCCGCTGCACCGCCTGAGCCGCTCGGACAAGCTGGCTGCCTGGCGCTCCGAGTTCAGCTCGCTCGACCTCGGCACGTACGAGGAGGCAGCGGCCGAGGACCATTGCGGGCTCTTCAGCCACCTCTGCTGGAGCCTCCTGCTGATCGAGCCTCACCGCTCCTTCCCGGTCCACCAGCACCCCGACATCGAGGTCGAGTTCGTGCTGCGGGGCGCGCTCTACGAGAACCGCCTCCTCTCGCAGCCGGACGCCGTCCTCGACGCGAGCGAGGTGCCCGACAGCGGCTTCCCGCGCCTCTTCAGCGTGCACACGCACGGCGGCGGCTCCTTCTTCTCCAACCCGCGCTTCAGCGTGCACCAGAGCTACACGATGGACGAGGGGGTCGTCATCCTCGTGCTCTGGGCCGGCCGCCACGTCAACCTCACTGACCCGGCCGGCAAGCTCTGGGCGCCAAAGCGCTGCCGCAACCCCTTCTGCCCGATGGGATCGACAACGTTCGCGTCTCTGGCGGCGGTGCTGAGAGAGCAGTGACCTGACGAGAGCCACGCCGTTAGTGTACCCCTGGGCTCGCGCTCTCATGACTCTTGTGCCAGTCGCTTTTCGTGTAGTTATTGTTCCGGCGTGTGTTTCGACTGTGTCGTGGTGGTGTGTCTTGTGCGAGTGTGACGTGTCGGCTGTCCCCACACGGTTCTCTCTGTGTGTGATCTCTCTCGGTCTCTCTGCGCCAGGCAGATGGTTTTAGTACTTTGTTTGACTTTGAGCGGGTGCATCTACATGTCCAAGTACGTCACCCACGCGCAGAGGGGTTTGCATGCAGCTTGCAGGTCCGGGCCGTGTATAGGTAGTTGGAGACGGTGCCACCGCCAAACATTCACTTTCATTCACAATTTAGGTTTGTTGTTGGCAAATCAAGACACAGACATTCACAATAATAATGAAAAGTAAAAACCGCGAGGTGGCACGCCGTCAGCGCGGTTTTTCGGGCCGCAAACTCGGAATGCGTTGAGCACAGGACCGGAGGGAATAACACATCCGCCGCAATTCGGAAATAGCGGAAGCACCCGGACGACGCAGCCTCACTCCCGGCACCAACTTGATTCCCGGATGCGCGTCTCCCCCTCCCCCTATGTGACGCCACCCCCCTCCAATCCGTAATTCCGTAAAATCGCGCGAAAAGCGCCCTAATCGACCTGGAGAGCGGCCCCCAGCCGCATGGGAGCGTGCCCCAGCTAGCAGGAGGCGTTAGACGTACTTTTCGGCGTGAACAAGGACTTTCGGCGACGTCCGTTCCCTGAGATGCCGCGGGCGCCTCGAGAGCAGTACGAGTAGGGACGGGCGAGGGGGGAGGGGCGCTGACCACGGGCGACTACGAGTCGAAGGTTCGAGGCCGACTACTCGCCGCCTGGGTCGTTTGGGGCGCGCGGCTCCGTCGAGGACCGGGCGCGCCCCTTACCCGGCGCGGCGTAGGTCCCACTCTGACGAAAAGAGGGGAGGCACGGTCGACAGCCCGATCCATCAACTACTCTCATCTTCTGGGGCTTGGCCCCGTGCAACAGCGGTCCGGCAGGCTGCCCCCAAGGCCCCCCGGGCCGCTGCGGGTTTGGGAGTTATGCTTAGGCACAGCTTCGGCGATGGCAGCCCCTCTCTGGGGTGTTGCATAGGCGGGGAGTCTCCCCCGCTGGTCTCCTCCTTCCCATTTTTTCTTTTCTTTTGAGAGCAGGACGCCGGGTTTGTCTTGTATGTGCATGTCGGGCCTGGGTGTGTGTGAGGGGCAGAGGGGCGGGAGCGTGCGGGGCAGAGGCCCAACGTCGGGCGGCTTGTCGGGGTCCAGAGCATTCGAGGGGGGAACGAGGAGGGGGGAATGGGCGGTCGGCGTCGGGGTAGCAGCACCAGGGCGTACGGGGTAGCCGTCACTTTCCTGCCTCACAAGGGCGGGGCTGTCCCGGAAAGTGAGAAACGCCGGGCAGCGTGGCGCATTACTGAACCCTCCCATACGTGTTTGGGGTTCCTCCTTTGCTGTCCCATCCCCTCATCTCTTTCCCGCCTGGGCGGGGCGGTGGGCGGGCGCGCGGTGCGGTGTGGCGTGTGCGTGTGTGCGACTGCAACGAAGGACCGCTCGCAGAGGACCATTGGGTTTGTACTATTAACAACGAAGGCGCTCTCAAAAAAAAGAAAACGAACGGCGTGGCGAGCGCTGCGCGGCGCTGCACTACTACTCGCACAGCCGCGGCGCGCCCACCCGAGCACTCGTGGGTGGGCGCCCTATAGCCTCTCCGCGCAACGTGCTGGGGCACGGACAGCGGCTCTCACGTCTAGCAGCGGCAGCAGGCCCACCGCTGCACCGACTCACACTGAACAGCACGCACAGGACACAGTCACAGAACACTGCCCCTGACGCCACTCACGGCCACGGGCTACTCAGACTTGGACACAGGCACCTCGCTTAGCCTCCGTGCATGTGGCTGCCGGTTGCCGTCACCAGCGCCGCTTCCTGCCCAGATCAAACACCTGCGACGTGGCGGAGGCGATGAGCGGCCCGCGGTCGCCGCGAGAGCGCGCGTGGCGGGCGACGGCTCACCGATCGAGCGGAAGCGGTCACGCTGTGGGGGCGGCGGCGAGGCGGGCAAGCCACCCGCAGATCCCCAGAAGGACGCCGTCGCGAGGTCGAGGGCGGGCGGCGGGGACGGCGAGGGTGAGGCGCGAGGCGCGAGGCGGTGTTGGCGGCGGCGGTGGCGCGGGCGGCGGCGGTCACGGAGCGGGGGCGAGAGGGTGGTGGCGAGCAAGACACCCGCGCGCGCTGCGCGGTCGCCGTTCTGACTCACATGCCTGCGGACAGCGCCGACGGGTGGTGAGGAGGGCGGCGAGCCGGCGGGCACGGTGTGCGCGCGGTCGCCGCGCGCTGGTGGGCGACAGCTCACCGAGCGAGGACACGTCCTGGCCGACTCTCGGAAGTACGCTGTCTCTTCCGTTAGGCGCACGCCCACGCCCTCGGCCTCGAACTGGCCCCGCTACCTGCCGCGCAAACTGGTTGGTGGGGGGGGGAGCGGCGTCGCCGTCGGATCGTCGTAAGCAGAGCATGCAACTTTGCGCCCAGAGCTCGTGGCGCAAGCAGATGCATGCGCGGTGCTGAGAACCTGGTTCTCCAGGAGGGGCAGGCCGCGAGGAGAGAGACCTCACGCGAGCACTCAAGGCAGGGCCCCCAGGGGGTGCCGAGAGATCACACCGCCTTTTCCGCGTGCTCCCTGCTCCCCCCTCGGTGCCCGGTGCACCCGACACACGGTGTCTCCTGAGACGCTTCCCTGTCCAAGTATAGTAAAATGTGATCTAGTATGCAAGTGCCATCTCAGAACAGCTGTGCATCTATAGATGCTTGTGGCGTCTAAGATGGAACGCGCAACAAATAAAGACACGGCGCGGCCATCTCCAGGACAGCCGTCGCATCCTAGAATGCCCTGTGTACCCGAGACACGTGGTATCTTTGAGATGAAAAGTGCGTCCTAGAATGCGTTTTTGCATTCTAGGACGCATCGGTAAACAAAGATGGGGGGGGGTCGCCCCCCCAGACGTGCGCGATTTACGGTTCGCTCGCGCGCACTGTGGTCGGCGCCCCTCGCTTGTGCGTTCTCATACGTGTTTATTACTCGTTTGCTTGACGACCGTCGGGGGGGGGGGGGGGGGCATCTTTGTTTACCGAATGCGTCTCTGGAGGTTAAAGTGCGTCTAGTAGAGCCGTAGGTGCCCTACGGGGTGTGGACCCTGAGTTGACCAGGGGTTGTGCGCCGGGCCCTCCTGCTCGGCTCCAGCGAGTAGACAAGTCTTGTCACTAACAGAGTAGAAGGACCTGACCTCGGGGCCGATGTGACCAAGCGCTGGTAGCGTGGTTTAACCTCACACCCATGGTCTCACAGTGTGCCGGCAGTCGCCGAGCAGTGTCGCTCACACAAGCCGCAGCACAAGTGACTGAGGGCCAGTGAGGGCGAGCCCATCGCTGTCACAGCTGTGGCAGCCGCACAGTAGGCTGTGTCAACTGTGCAGAGTGTGTGAGCAGCAGAGGAGCTGCTCTCCAGGCTTCTGTCGCAAAGAGCTGCATGCCACCGAAAGCGCTGTCGAGGTTCGCCGAGCGCGGCGCAGGTTGGGGGACACCGTCACCGACGAGCGCGTTGGAGTATTCACTCCGGACAAAGACGGGCACACAGCGGACGGTGCGGGGCGTGTGCCCGTCATAGTGGCGAGGCGCGGGACCGTCTGTGGCGAAGTGGGTCGCTTCCCCCGATTTCCTCAACTCACCGGTCCTCTCCCTCTACTTAGACGCTCGCTGTCCTCGGTATGCTCGAGCATCCTAAGATACGCGAGTCCGCATATTAGTTGCTCCCCGCGCATCCCGAATTGCTCGCGGCATCTCCGATTGGCGTTGCTGTCTCAAAAGACGCGCTGTGCATTCATACCTTGAAAAAGACACCCAAGCACTCTCGAGTCCCGCGTACGGACCCGTACGCAGCTCGTACGGAATGTAGAATCAGCCCGTCTATGCAAAAGGCAAATCCATATGCAGTCTGCATGCTGCATGCTACAAGAGTGCGGTGTGTGTGTGGAGAAGTTTACCTTACCTTACCTTACCTTACGTCGTACATGCACGCATGCGCTGTTGCGGTGTGCGACGATGAGTTACGGCTTAAAGGTACCCTCACGGCCCCGCGCGGTTCCCGATCGATCAAACACGGTGCCCTAAACCGTTCCCGAAGAGAGAAGCGGCCACCACTCGACCCCGCGCAGATGGGCAAGATCGTCGTCGGCGGCAAGCTCGGACGCGGTGGCGTCGCCGGCGGTGACCAGCGCCTCGAGCGAGGCCCGGCACTCCCCGATGCGGCCGCCGGCCGGAGTGCTCGCGAGGGCCAGCGCGCAGCAGGCGTTGTAGCGCGCCTCGCCGAGCTCGTTGCTGGCGAGCCCCTGCCGGATCCACTCGCTCTCGGGCTGCCGCAGGAGCGCGTCGAACAAGCCGATCGCCTTGCCCAAGCTCGCCGCTGCGTCAGCCTCCCCCCGCTGCCGCTGCAGCCGCGCCGCCGAGAGCCACGCGTCGGCGGCGCCGATGCCGCACCGCAAGTCGCGCGCGCTCACGCGGAGCCCTCGCTCGTACCTGAGGAAAGTGCGACGGCTCGGGGACGGCTCGGGTACGGCTCGCTTTCGCCCAGAGCCCGCGCGCGCACCCGTCAGTAGCGGCTTTGGCGTAGAGTGCGGCCGCGCTCTCTCCTCCGCCGCCGCCGCCTCCGCTCTCGAGGTCTCGCTCTAGCTCGGCGGCTGCGGCGAGGATGTCGCCCGCGAGGCAGCAGGACGAGGGGAGGGGCACCGCGGAGAGGCGGATCGAGTCGGCGGCCTGAGGAGAGGGGGAGGCGGCTGGGGCGGGGGCGGGGAGGCGGCTGGGGAGGGGAGGCGGCTGGGGAGGGGAGGGGTCCGCCTTGCTGGCAGCTCTCGCGAGCAGCTCCTTCGCCGAGCCGGCGAGCGCGGAGGCGTGGCCGTGCGCGAGGGCGAGCGAG